GCAGACGTAAGATCGGAGAAACTTGTCTGCCGCTCATAATTCTCACACATCCTCGTCCCAAATTATAACGAACCACCCCGACTCCTCCCCCTCTCCCTCCGCCCCGTGCTGATGAAGCGGAATTGAATTGAAATTCGATTCGCCGGTAATCAGCCGGTGTACCTGGCGGGCCAAATGGACGAAGGAAGAAGAAAACGGCCATCCGAGCGTAAGGACTCGTAAGGCGCGAGCGAGAGGGGAAGCTTACGCTTGGCACTTGGCGCGCTTCTCTCTCGGCTCTCGAGCGAGAGTGCGAGCGTGCCGCAAAGTTGGCCGATTACAGCGGAAAGAATGAGAATGGTCGGAAGTTTTCTCGGCGCGCGCGCGCGTTCGCCGCTCTCTTTCTCCGACCGCGAGGTGCGCTAATTCCGAGCGGGATAAGCGTGTATGCTTGCGTGCGACCCGAGAGCGGCCGAACGCAAAACGGGGACAAGGCTCGGGCTTTTTGTCAACAGTCCATTTAACCGCGCGTGCACAAAGCGCGTGCACGCGTGGGGAATGTATTTTTAGTCGCCGCAACGCGCGCGCGCGCGCGCGCGCGGCGGTATTTAAAAATAAACGAACCGCTCCGCCATAACCGTACACGGTACGGCCTCCTCTCTCGGTACCGCACACCGTGCGTGCGTGTATGCGTGCACACGCAGGTATTCACGGCGGGTTATCGCCGAAACATCCCGCGGCCCGAGGTACCTGCGATGCTCGAGCGCCGCGCGCGCCGAGCCTGGGCCTCACCTGGGTAGCCCGCGCGCTCAGGGAAAAGTCCTCGTTGTTTGCGACCATGGTCGCGCATGCCGCAGGAATTATTAGTCAGGAGAGCCGTGCTCTCCTGCTGCAAGTGCTATGCAGCGGAGCGCTAGCGAGAGCAAGCACGCGTGCGAGCCGCGTCGCACAAAAGGAACTCGGTGCAATGTGAATTTTATAATTGACCAATTAGAAGCCGCACATGATAGAGATCTATTCTTTTCGTTGCATAAATTGTCTCAACAAGCGCCATTTTTGTGTCAATATCAGTGAATCATTGGAAAGATTATTAATATGTCTCCATATGTTAGCGTGTACATCAGCGATGAGGGTCACACAGAGGGTCGTTTAGAACGTTTAGATTTTCATGTAATTACGCGTTTTCTTGTAATTACGCCCAAAACAAAGTATTCTGTTTTGTAAAGTGATTGTTTGTTTCCCATAGTCTCATATTCTAAGCGAAGTCTTTTGCAGAAGGAGGATTCCTCTTTCGAGAAAGCGATTAAAGTGAAGCATTTCATCGGATATTTGTTAGATATTATTCTAACTGTTTTCCTCTCATTTTAACAGGATTCCCTCTTATATCAATTATTTTTCCTCTTATGTGAAGAGGAATGTGTTGATTTGAATGTCGGCTTCTTTTGCTCAGTCTTGCTCTACCCAGTAGAGAATATTTAGAATGTTGTTTAAAAAAGGTGCGCGTGTTGCTGTAATATGTAAGATAATTTATTCATATTTGATCAAATACGGTTTACAATCTATTGCAAGAGGTTGAATAATATATTCTTTCTTTTAACTATGTTTCGTACAATTGCTTATGATGAACATCTTTGTTACGAAGCTATGAAGCTACGAAGTCCATAACAAAACTGATTGGAAATTTGTTTGTTATGACGATCTTACTTCATTCGTGTCTACTTATTGTAGAACTGGAGCTAGAAGTACATCTACATATATATATCACTTTTCGCTATACATTATAATAATTTTTTCAAATTAACTGGTACAACCAGCAAGAATAATGTACGAATAAATAACAATCCTCTTAGAAAAAGATTAAATAATCTGTATGTAAGAGGAAATTGATATTAAAATCTATATTAATTAATCTATATTAATTAAAATTATATTAAAATTTATATTAGAATAAGATTTGCATTATATATATATATATATATATATATAATATATAATCCCTCCAACTTTAAGAATAATGTGTTTGTAATATTTTCCTCCTAATCTTAGAGGAATCCTCTTGAGGGATCCATATATAAGAATAAAATTCTCTAAAATTTCGATGATTTCACTTGTTCTGAAGTTACATCTCTTTTTTTTAATGTAACTCAGCGGTCCAAGACTTTTCAGCCGCCCGAAAGCTCCTCCGCCGTGCGGCAGCGTCCGCGACGACGGGCGGTTAATTCGAGTTTCCCTCAGTTCGACAACGAGTCGCAAGTCCGTCATCGCAAAGCAAGTCGCGAAAGCGAGGACGCGTTTAGCGCCGAATGTGGGGCTAAGAACGGACGACGGCGGACCTTCGGCCGTATCGCGCGGCGGCCGCGTGCGAGATAATTCCAATCGCGTGACGTTATCGTCGCGACGAGTTACGCGTTTTCGTAACGACGTGGGATATTTTCAAGCGAGTTATTCTGGCGACGAGCCCGCTCCTCGAGACCGCGGCGAGATCGCTCATCGCCGGCTGTGGAAAAGCGACGACCGCTTGCATTTCACGCAGAAAAAAGCGATAGCGTGTGCTTTGCGACACGCGTTTACATCCTAGTCGTGTCTGACGACGCGATTTACCATTTCTCGTGGGCGGATTCTAGTCATCTGTCGCGCGGGAGGCGAATATCGCGTCCCGGTGCCAACGCGCGTCGCGATAACATCCCGCGTTTGAGTCATTGTAAATTTGTCAGAGGGTGAGGGAGGGAGAGAGAGAGAGTCGCTCTCGACGGATTTCCTGCGCGTCTTTTGTTTACGACGCGTCGCCGTCGAGGTTTCTCGACAGGTTTCTGTCGCGAGCGCCGACGGCCGTCGAGGAGAACGAAGGTGTTCTATAAGAAGCAATTTACCTCGCTTTCTTTCGCCGTTCCTCCGACTGCCGGCATGGGCAATAAACGATAATTCCAGAAGATCATTTTAAGACCGAAAGCGCGCCGGTGGGTGAAGAGCTTTCACTCGCGCGGCGGGCCTCTCCGCGGATGATCGAGGAGAAATTCTTCCTCAGGACCTAGCGTCGGATTTCTCTAGGACTCGGAAGAAGGACACGCACCTCTTCTCTTTCATCCTCCTCGCCAGGACAGATGGGTCGCGATGTCGCTCGCTAGAAATTTTCGACGGAACAGTCGCGCGTCCCACTTATGATTGTTATGCCGAAAAATAGCGTGAAATCGCCGGCGACGTCCGGCATCCGCTTGGATGAAACTCGACTTGAAAGTTGCACGACAAATTTAGCCGACAGCTAGAAGGGCCGAAGCGACCGAAACGAAGTTACACGAAGAAAAAGATCGGGCGGGAAGGACGAAGGTTCAGCCTTGCGCAAGTGTTGCAGCGCGGACTTCTCGACCGAGTGAAATTGAAGATGAAAGACGGCCAGATCGACGAGGTCTGTGATGTGGAAATTTTAAGTACCGAATTTAGTCGAAAATAGCGAAAGGTTAACGAACCGAAAGGCAATTTTATGATACAACGTAACAAACGTATAGAACGTTCGAGATCGACGGCGCTCTGCCAGCGTTCTCGTGCGTGGATTTTATTAAGTATACGAGGATCGCGAAAATAAACAAATTAGTCGATCCCCTGAATATTTCGATAAACCCGTACAGAGGAGAGCGCCGCACTTGCAAAGTGAGTCGGAATGTTGCTCGATACGTGCACCTAAAAAAAAGTAATTTCAGAACAAGTGAAATCATCGAAATTTTAGAGAATTTTATTCTTATATATGGCCTCAAGAGGATTCTTCTAAGATTAAGAGGAAAATATTATAAACACATTATTCTTAAAGTTAGAGGGATTATATGTTATATATATATATATATATGCAAATCTTATTCTAATATAAATTTTAATATAATTTTAATTAATTAATATAGATTTTAATATAAATTTCCTCTTATACGTAGATTATTTAATCTTTTTCTAAAAGGATTATTATTTATTCGTACATTATTCTCGCTGGTTATAGCAGTTAATTTGAAAATATTATTATAATGTATAGCGAAAAGTGATATATATATATGTAGATGTACTTCTGGCTCCAGTTCTACGATAAGTAGACACGAATGAAATGAGATTATCATAACAAACAAACTCCCAGTCAATTTTGTTATGGACTTTACAGCCACAAAAATGTTCATCATAGCCAACTGTATGAAACATAGTTAAAAGAAAAAATATATTATTCAACTTCTTGCAATAGATTGTAAACTGTATTTGACCAAATATGGGTAAATTAGCTTCGTTATATATTACAGCAACATACATACCTTTTTTAAAAAGCGTTCCAAATATTTGGATCCTGAGCATATGATTATTTGTTTGTTCACGTCTGAAATACGACTGAACAAAAGAAGCCGACATTCAAATCAACGCGTTCCTCTTCACATAAGAGGAAAATTAATCGATAAAAGAGAAAATTCTCTTGAAGTAAGAGGAAAATAGTTGGAATAATATCTAAGAAATTCTTGCTGATGAATGCTTCACTTTAATCGCTAAAAGGAATCCTTTTTCTGTAAAAGACTTCGCTTAGAATATATCTATATATAGACTATGGGGGAAAATCACTTAATAAATAAAATACTTTCTTTTAGGCGTGACGAAGGCGATGAAAATTTTCAAAATTGACCTCTCGGGCTGTCAAGTAGATATCTATATCTGATATCGCTGCAACATTGTTGCACCTTCACTTATCAGCTTAGCTTCAAGATGTCAAGTTTATAAGGAGATTTCTGCATTTGCATTTCCCGCTGAGTACAAAAGTGGGACAAAGTGTCACAAGTTGACCCACGTGTGGAGGAAATAAAGAGCGGAAGAAAAGGCGCGTATATCTCGGAGGACACGACGTTCTAACGATCGCGTCTACATTGTGAGCGTATTTGGGGTTCATTCACCCACTATGGCGGTTCCCCGCGAATCATCTTGTCTTTGGCGACCGATCACATTCTTCGTATTGTCATACGACACCACCACCAACCTCATCAACAGTTCGCTCTTGGACTTTTCAGGGCGGCTTCGCGAGGGTCTACCTGATGACCGACGTGAACAACGGGAACCAATACGCGTGCAAGATCATCCCGAAGAACCGCATGCAGAAGATCCACATGCAGAAGGTGCGTATACTACTCGTCGGCGGGACCGCCGCGCCATTCCTGTAGCTCGCCGGAAAGCCTCACGTCCGCCTTGCTCTGCCTAGATCGCGCGTGAGATCATGATCCACAAAGAGCTGAATCACGTGAACGTCGTTCAGATGCATCACTACTTCGAGGACAACCTGAACGTATACATGCTCCTGGAGGCCTGCCCGCGTAAGGTATCGTGTGTCTCTCACTTACCCGGCGAGTTATCATCTCCGACGACGCGTTCTATCGCCGCGTTCGGCAAAAAAACTCTCTTGTCTCTTGTCTCTTCCGCTTTCGTGGCGACGACGACGACCAGCTGCGCGAAGCGGAAACTCGCGCGGGGCAGCCTTGGCAGGCTTGTTTAATTCGCCGCCGATTGTTCACTCGTTAACCGTAATTGTTCACTTATTTAATGGCTCGCTTGTTAACTCCGGAACGAATGAATGCGCGAGTTTTGCGAGCTCGTACGATGATGAATACGCCAAGTAGCCGGCTTATCCGCACCGTCGAAATCGAGCGGAGGTGCACAAAGAACAACGACCCCGCAGGCGGCACGCGCTTTTTAGAGATGTCTTGAGGATGTCTGGAGAATCTTTTGAAAAGAAGCGGGACGTACCTCGAAGAGACGTTTTTTCTCGGACCGTGCAGAAGTACGAGCGAAATTGCTGCGTATCCGTTTTATAAAGGGGTTACGCGCGTTTAACCCACAATGGTTGTTAAATTTCGTCTCGTCCTTTGTTATTTGCTATTTTTGACTAATTATTTGTGATTAATTATTATTTTCTTTTTTTTTTTTTAATTATTTTTGACTAATTGTACTTGTGTAATTTACGCTACGACGTCGGCATACGACGTGCAGCTTTACAGAAAATATTGCAGAAAGTGGATGTGCGAGATCGGCGAGTCCGAACTGTTCGAAGATTTTTGCACTGGGAAAAGAAATTTAGTATCCCTAACAAAACTGTTTGGTCGAAGCATTTTTTAATAGCAACCATATATCTTGTTTTATATAACAAAATATATTTAGTTGTCTCGACTAAACTTTATTCTCTGAATCAAATGATTTTGTTCTGAGACTTTATATGTAAAAATTAAAGCATTTCAATAATTTCATCCATAAAAATTACATAATAACGAAATATTATTTTACATAAACTAAAATAATACCCAATGGATACTATTTTGTCTTCCTGCGCACTAAAATTTAGATTTTATATATTAAGAAAAAATTATTGTATTTTTAACAAAATTCATTTAGTTGAAGCTTTTTGGTTGCTATAACAAAAGTATCACGTTATACGAACAAACCGTAATCAAACAAGATAATTTGTTCGCAGGAACTAAACTAAGTTTCGTCGGGCACATTTTAACCAAATTATTTTGTTGTTACAACAAAATTTTGGTTCACGCAACAATACATTTTTCCTAATGCGTCAACTGCGAAAATTTTGAGACCCGGCAAATGGAGAAGTTCGGGATCGATTCCCGGCTGAGACGTAACTACAGAAAAGAGTCGATTAACGCAGAATTAAGTAAATAATTGAGAAGAAACGATGAAGTTGTCGTGTTAATCATTATAATTCGGAACAGTTTCTTCTCTTCACGTCGACGGTCGATTCTCCGCATATTCTCGTAAGTGAAATTTCAATTATTTCCCGTAAATGAAATTAAAAATCACTCGTCGCAACAGCGTCCAAAACGAAGGACCTTTACAGACCACGTGGTCAACCGCGTCGTTAATCGCAAGTCAACTTTCGGCGACTCGGTTCGCTTGACGGCCGGAAGTCCGTCGACCCTCAATCGCGCTCGTAGAAAAGCGCCTTGATTCGCGCGCGTCTCTGGCACGAGGAGAGGAGCGCAATTTCTAGCGCAGCTTCTCTCTCCGTGCGCAATCCGGCATCCGCTCTAAGATGGAGAGCTCTGAATTATCCCGCGTGTCTTCTTCTTTTTCGCCATGTTGCGTGCGCGCGTTCTCCACATTCCGATAAGTCATCCCCATAAGCCATCCGCATTGGAGTCGCGCGCGCGTTCGTTCCAAGCCCGTCGTGCAACATCTGCGCGATCTAAATCGTCGCGTCGGAATTGCATTGTATATGGGCCGTGCATGCGAGAAACAATTACAAGCCCATCGCGCGCGTCTACCTGTCGGCGTTCCCGCCGCCACGGTCAACAATTTCGCCGCGCGCGCCGGAAAGAGAGCGGCACTTGCACTCTTCATGGCTGATCCGCGCCGACCTGTTTGTACCGTTAGGACGCGACGAAGCGTCGGCTAATCGTCTGATTATCCTCGCTCTCCCTCGCTCAGTCGACTTTGTAAAGACGGCGAGTCTCGCTTCTGCCCGCAGCTCGTCGTCGGAAGCGTATCGCCGCGCGTATCGACGGAGGTCTCCAAGCGGAAGTCGAACTTGAAAACTTGAAGCACCGGCGAGACGCTGACTTCTTTCCCCGCGAACGCCACGGCGTGCAGTATCACGAGTGATTCAGCATCGCTCAAGATGTGGCCAGGCGCCAAAGTTGACATCTCGAGCTGTCAGCCGGCGAGAAGATCCGGCTGCTACGAAAATCTGCGTGTCTGCTTCGCTCGGCAAAGTCGCGAGGGACGTCGCTCCTTTTCGTCGTCGGCTGAATTTAAGGAGGGAACATTACATGCGGAAGGCCATTTTCAAGGCTATTTTTATGAATTTCTTTCCCCACTAACAGCGAAAGGGTCAACAGAAACGGTTGGATCAATGGACTTGAAATGTTCGCAATGTATTTATTAATGTTCAAAGTATAAAGTAAATTTTATTGAATCACAAGAAGCGATCCAATTTGTAATTGTAGGTAAAAATGTAGGTAAAAATGCAGTTATCCGTTTGCGAGCTTTGTGTCTGTTATCGGCGTAATTTCGGGCCTCTCACTATTCTGAAAGCAAAAAATGAGAAAGATTTTTTAAATATACGGTTGCCATTGTAGTCCGTACCGAAATAAAGATAGTGAAGTCAAGTTTGGAGAAATAATGACCGTACAAAGAAAAGTATCGGAAATGAAACTTTTTTAAATTTATAATCATGTTTAAAAAAAATGAATAAAATAAAATATAACTGTGTTCGGCGACGTAGGGACGAAAACTACATGTCTACTGTATATGTTGTGTAAAAATTTCCAGTTATTCGGTTCAGTGGTTTTTTTGCATAATCGTGTCGACAGTTTAATAAAATGGTGTTTCCAGATAAACGCGTTTAAAGTTTTACGCGTACTTTCCATATAGATAGTAACAAATTTATTTGATACTCTGAACATTAATGAATACACTGTGAATATTTCAAGTCCATTGATCCTACCGTTTCTGTTAACCATTTTGCTGTCAGTGGGAAGTATATTTCCCACCTTTTCTTGATTCAATTTTGCGTTATAAATCACATAATTTTGAAGAACTAATCGGGGATTTGAGTTTTTCAGATAACTGAATAGTTGTTCAACATATTCCAATAGGTTTTTATACCCAATTATTCATTTATGATTATTTATAACAAATCAAAGTTGAGAAGAAATGCTTTTTTTAGGGAAAAATCGATTCCTCGGAGAGTACTGAATGTAGAGGTCTGAAATTTTCATCAAATATTTTTCTGATGTTGTACAAAAACATATATATTTCTTTCAGTATTTTTCTGCAGGTTAGATTTTTTTTATAGACAAATATTTCTACAAAAACAGTCGAGATTTGATTTTTTGGTACTTTTTAGCTCTATTTTCCTGGTTTTTCCATTCTGCTTCATCTCCATCTTATCCATACTATCGATATTATTTTACTCAAAAGATTCGTAATCTGTGATTCGAAAAATCCATATATCATCAATAACAATCGGAATTTTTTTCAATTTCGTACATTATGGTCAGCATATTGAATCTGCCATTTTGAATTTGGTAAATCTGACTTCAGATTCGTAATCAGCGACCTGAAAAACCCACATACCATCAATAATAATTGGAATTTTCATTAATTTTGCACATCATGATCGCCATATTGAGTCCGTCATTTTAAATTTTGCAAATCTGATTTTAGATTCGTAATCAGCGACTCAAAAAACGTAGGACTATCAAATATTTTAATAGTTTTCTCAAGGGAAGTTAATTCAGCAGTGAAAAGGTTAAAAAAATTTCGTAAAAATAGCCTTAAAAACGGCCTGCTCCGCATATAATTCCCCCCTTAAGAGCTTTAAGCACCGACCGAAAGAAATTTCTACACATGCGTGTGGTTCTGTTTTTCATTAAATATATAATAAAGCAGAACAACGTATATATTTATATGAGGTCTACGTGTACGCGGGAAATACGAAAAGAGCAGCGTGATCGTGTTGGAGAGAGAAAGAGAGCGCTTATTTGCGTTCGTTCGAGGCATCGACGTCTTTTGAGTTCGTCATTCGCTTTGGTGTGTCTTTAAGGGAAACTTTGCGAAAAAAGTGCGTATCTTGTCGGTAGAGTTTTCAAGTAGGACGTTCCGTCAGTTACCTGTCCTATTGAAGATGCGCGAAAAGGGCAAAGTTGAGGCGGTATCTACTGCATCGATGATGATAGACGTAATAAGGATGAGGACAAAGGCCGTGACTCGGAGAATAATCGCAGAAAAAGGAAAGATCCCACCGACATCCTGTAAAAAAAAGAAGAGAAGAAAAGACCAAGACGACCTTTCGAGGATCCGCGCCGGATTTCAGTCGACCGTCTTCTAACCAGGAAACGCTTTCTTTTCGGTCGTTTGCCCTCTTTTCAAAAGAGCCACAGGTGGCCCTTCCGTGGCTCGCTTTTGTAAGATTTGGCTGTCGGTGTCGCGCAGCTCCGAGCTTATACGAGCTGAAGTTTGTTGCAACAGCTGCGATAGATGCGGATTGTGAGCGCGGGGTTGGGGAGTTATTTGTTTATTTATTCATTTTCTTTCATGAGCGACCCCTTAGCGTGTGATCCATTTTCGAGTCGAGAAAGTAACCCGCTCATCGTTACTAATTTTGGAGAAGAGAAAAACCCGTTACCGCGCGCGCGTTATCGTAGCTCGGAAAGTAACTGAAAGCAACTTTTCTACTCAGTTTAATCTGATTAATTTTCATAATTTCTCGTTTCCAAGAAATTCCGCACACTCTGTATATTTAATTTAATAACAATTTAATAATATTATTCTTAAACATAATTAATAACATTATATATATATATATATATATATTTAATTTAATAATAATATAATAAATAATATAATATAATAAAAATAATATAAGAATAACTTAATAATGATATACAATATTTTATAAAAAATATAATTTTTTAAATTAAAGAAGTTTGATACACAATAGTTTATAGCTTATAGTTTACTTGTCATATAGTACATATAGTTTAACAGAAAATCCATAGAAAATTCATAGTTTTACCCATACGGATTTTACACGTATGGTTTTACACGTTTTCAGTATATTCCGTGAATTTCGGGACAAAGCAAGATGCAAGTAACACGTTACTTCCCGAACTCTCCCGCGAAACGATAAGTGAAACTCCATCGCCTCGCCGTTCTCGCCATTCTTCGCGCTCGTCCGGAAGGACTCGTCCGTCGAAAGGACTCGTCGGACTCGTGTCGCCGGCAATGCAGCGAGGCATTGGTCAGTCAGTCAGTCCAGATACAAAGGTGATCGCTCATTCCCCGTCTCTTCTTCTTCGCTTCAGAGCCTGATGCACGTGCTGAAGTACCGTGGCAAAGTCACGGAGCCGGAAGCGCGTTACTACATGAAGCAAATGGTGACCGGCGTGGCGTACATCCACTCTCAGAAAGTCGTCCATCGGGACCTGAAGCCGGGCAACATGTTCCTGTCGGATCGGATGATCGTCAAGATCGGCGACTTCGGCCTGGCGACCAGGCCTGACGGCCAGCGTAGGCGAGTGTAAGGCCCGTTAATTTGCGACACCTCGTGTCCGCCGCTCATTAAGAGGACACTCGCTCAGTCCGTAAACACAAGTAACGACGGGACTCGTGAAAGGGTTGGCAAAAGTACGCGGCGAGTACAGTGGAGTCAGTGGAGGAACGGCCGCGATCCTCCTTGATCCTGATGAATCCCTGGACGTTAGAACTTTATCTCTTCAGACCTCTCTCTCTCTTCCCACATCCATTCGAAGCTCTCTCAAGCTGGTCCAAGGCGGGAAAATCCCTCTTCCGATGATTACCGGGAGACAAACCCCCGTCCTCCTATTGACATTTTCACACTTTCCCGACATGCGTGAAATGCTGGACTGCTTGTCTTCTAGGTTGGAATCGTCTTCTTTGTGGACTCGTTCCCAGCATTTCCGTCCAGTTTCTTTCACCCTCTGTTTGATGAAGTGTCGCAACCTTTCCTGTACCGACCGTGACCTGACGGAGCCGGGAATAATCGTACATCCGCCGGATACCTGCTCGGCATCCTCGTCCTCGTGGACTGTGTATCATTAATTTAACTCTCCCCCGCCGACGAGAGAAAGCATCACAAACATCACGGATCCCTTGACGTCCCGGCGACGATAGCTGGGCACGGCCGGCGGATGTACGCTCGTCTAAACACAACAAACACCAACGACCGGGGCGGCATCGCCGCGACTGCAGTTGTCGTTCGCATTCGCAGGACGATATGCGGCACGCCGAACTACATCGCCCCGGAAGTGCTGTACAAGCAGGCCTACAGCTACGAGGCGGATGTTTGGGCGCTGGGCTGCATACTCTACGCCTTGCTGGTGGGCCAGCCGCCGTTCGACACCGCCACGTTGAAGGAGACCTACGCGAGGATCTGCAACAACCATTACCGCGAGGTGGACGACAGTATCGCGAGCAGAAGCGGCCAGGACCTGATCAGGTGGCTGCTGCAGTCCAATCCCGAGCTGAGACCGAGCCTGGAGAGAGTGAAGGAGCACGCTTATCTCACCAAGGAGTACGTGCCGGTGTCCTTGCCCCACACTTGCTGCTACCAGATGCCACCGACGTCGATCATCGAGCCATCCTCGGTCTCCACGGTCGCCAGGAGCCAGCAGGAGCCCAACAAAGCGCAGCAGGTGAGTGACCCCGCCGATAAGTCACCCGGTCGCGCCGACACTCCGGAGATGCTAGGAGAAAATTTCGAGTAGGAAGAACCGATCAGGGTTACGCAAATTTCGTCGCGGTCGCGAGGCTGATTAAGCGAGAACCTCAAGTCGAGTCAACCACCTGGGAACTTGAGTCGCAAAAGATGGACGAAATTGAAGCGTGATTTTCGATGATGACGTACAATGTAGATGTCCTTTTAATCGCCGAAAAGTTGATTCAGCAGGATCGGATTTAGCAATTCTAGTGGGAGTTTGGACAAATCATTAGACTAAATCTGTTTTGCAATAAGAGGTCCCAAGAAGATTAAGACTTTGCTGATACGAGTAGAGCAGTTGGAATTCGCGATATCCGGATTTCGATGTTGAGTGACTCTTCGGGAAACGTCTCGATTGGCTCGAGACGAACCTGAACTGAAGAGTCGTCTCGTCTTCTTCTTCTTCTTCTTCTTCTTCTTCTTCTTCTTCTTCTTTGAAGCGCGACCGGAGAAAATATTCTCACAAAGCGCATCGAATTCTCGACAGGTGTGGCAACAGAGTCTAGTTCACCCCGACGCGTCCGGCATGCCGCGTTATCAGCAGCAGTCGATGCAGACTCAGCAACAACAGCCGCAGCAGCAACAGCAATTCCAGCAGCAACATCTACTCAACCGCTCGCAGAAGAGCCTGCAGAAGGAGTCCAAGGTCTCGAGCTGGCTCGTGAGGAAACTGCCGAAGCTACCGCGGTTCCGGCAACGGCTCAGCAGCGTGCTCTGCCCGGACCACAAGAAGATCGGCCTGGTGGCGCAGAGTGTGCAGATGCATCGCGCACTGGAGGCCTGCGTGACGGAGATGAAGCGCAACAATACGTGCAATCCGCCGACCGTGGAGGACATCGTGCCGCTCTTCGTCACCAAGTGGATCGATTACTCCAACAAGTACGGCCTGGGCTTCCAATTGTCCGACAAGTCGGTCGGCGTTCTCTTCAACGACAACACGAAGATCAGTTACACTCACGATAGAAGGTGAGTCTCGGGAGTCGCCGGGCCAGCGATTGGATCGGAAATCGCGGCTTTCGTTGCCCTCAGCTCGTCGACTCGATGAACATTCTCACGGCTCGATTCAGTCCCGCTTCGGACCGACGCTCTTGGCCGTCCGCCGCAGCCATCTTGATTTGCGACGTCGCAGCGACAGAATATGCGCTAAAAATTCCCGCAAGGTGCATCGAAGTGAAGAAGCATGCCAAAAGTGACACTTGAGGTCGACTGAGCACACCAGCAAAATATTCTGGACGCCTTGCTTTTGCTCTACTAATTTAACAATCGATAATTCAGCGTAAAATTAACGCGGCAGGATTGTGAGGAAGGACAGGTTGGGAGGGTGAGTTGCGTGCCGCGTCAGTTTTACGCTGGTTTATCGATTGTCAGGGCGAAAAGGAAGGGCGTCGCAAGTGTCACTTTTTGGATATATTTCTTCACTTCAGCCTACCTCGCAGGAATGCTGAGCTCGTGTCTTCTCGCTCCTGACGCCACAAATCAAGATGGCCGCGGCGAGCAGCCAAGAGCCTTAACGGGAGAACGAGAAGGAACCTTCGGCGCCTCAAAATACAAATTACGTTGCAGAAGAGTGGAGTACATGACGACCGACGACGAGGTGACGCGATATCACCGAGAAAAGGACATCCCGTTGGCGCTGCAGAAGAAGCTCGAGTTGCTGCGCCACTTCACCGAGTACATGGACGATTTCCTCACCGAAGGTGAGCTCCCACCGCGAGGTGGGCTCTTCCTCTTTTACCCCGCGACTGATTGTGCACGCGACGGAAGTGAAGAGTCGCATAAATTCGTTCGCCCAGCCAGCAATAAATCGTCGAAACGACGTCGTTGAAGTCTCGAAAGGTTGTCGGTCCCAAATTTGCGTGGAAATATCGGCATCCTCGAGCAGCAACTGAAGATTCCATCGAGTTCAGTGAGATTTTATGCATTTGTCGACACCTTATCGTCTTCGATTCAATCTCATATTCAGGTTTTTTACTGAGAGATCGCGTCGAGCTTGTTGCGCATCATTTGGATACTTCTGTAAAGTTTCACATCGCGCACTTACGAGGCATTGTTGTCACCCGAGACTGCCGAAATTTCGACGCACATTTCGCCACTGGACGACATTAACGACGCCGTTTCGGCGAATCATTCCTGGCTGGCGAGTAGAAGTAACCCGAGCCGCGACAGGCTCATTTCTCTCTCGGAACATTTTGTTCCAAATAAAAAGCGACAACGCGAACGCGACGCGATTACTTAGACCGTGATAGCAACCGACCAGACCAAGACCCTGAGAACGTGTGCGTGCGAGTGCGAATGTGTTTGTGTCCGTGTTGTAGGTGGCGAGCTGAAAAAATACCGCGCGCCGCCGCGGCAGTCGAAAAACGCTTGCGTGCCGCGAATGAGACGGTGGCTGCGTACGGACAAGGCCATCGTGATGGAGTTAACGGTACCTCTGCTGCAAGTGAACTTCTTCGTGGACCACACGAAGATGGTGGTGTCGCAGGAGTCGCCGGGTAGGGGATACCTGATCACTTACATCGACACAGGCCGGCACGCGTCCTCTTATTGGCTGAACGATCTGCGTGACCTCGGCTGCACCCCGGACCTCTACGAGCGGCTGTACTACGTCTGCAAAGTGACGCGCGAGTTCGCCGAGCTAGACAACAACACGATCGCCTGACCGCCGGCGAATTCCCGCGGAGCGTGCCAGCCTCTCAGACGCTGAGAGAGAGGCGGTGCGAGTCTCATTTCGAGCCTTCATCCGGGCAAGCTCTTTCCTCTTCCTGGTCGGATTCCGTAGCCGGGAAATCGCCCGGCGAGGAATGATCGTCGGACGCGCCATTACGGCGGGACGTAATAACTATTACAACGAGAGGCGACGAAAAAAGGAAGGAAAGCAAAGAGAGAGAGAGAGAGAAAAAAAAACATTCGGACCCCCCGGTTCAGCTTCAGGAGGAAGGCAGCGGCGGCTTAAGCGCGTCGTCACGGTACATACCGTTACGCGCATTTCTCAGGAGGTCGTAAATAAGAACACGTCACGCGGCTGCGGGTCCGAGAAGGCGTGTCACACGCACGCGAAAAGAGCCGCGGCGCGCGAGCTTGCTTCCGTTGGGATTTACGAGCTTGTGTTGTTCTCGGGCGAAAGCCCGAGGGGAAGCTACGCCCGGCGTAGTGGCGAATGTTCGCCGATGGGGAACAACGCGTCGCCGAAAGCTGACGCGCTCTTTCTTACACGCGCACGCTTCGCCGCGCGAGCGCGGAGAGAACGGCTCCACGGTAAAGCAGGCCTTTATTTTGACGCCGCGCGGATGCGTTGCGACTTCCCGCTCAGCAGTGCTTGTGGTTGTCACGTGCAACCGTGTGTTACGTTACGCTGACACGCGGAGAGAGAAGTGTCGCTTTACCGCCGAGAAGAGCGATCACTCTCGGATTACCTTCCTCGTTTCGGGTAATCCTCGACGAAGACGTATTTTCTTGACGACGGCCTGGAAATCCTCGAAACTTGCCTCGAGTTTCAGGAAAATTTCATCCGTGTTCATAGACTCGGAAGAAGAAGAACTGATATTCTCGTTTTCAAAAAATTATGAGGCTCAGCAATTACGGCAGCAAATTCAAAGACTGAATCGTTCTTGATCGAGGTGATGGATTTGCGCTCCGGAAGAAAATTGTACGGAGTGATCGCTCTTCTTAGCGGCGGAACGAAACTCCGATTGATTTTCTCTTCGACAATATGATGAAACTCATACTCCACGCACAGGGAGAGCGAACTGAATTTTTGTTTTAATTCAACGTTCTTGTTTTATGCCGAAACTTACTTACCGGGATTCCGAATGTATTTTGATAAACCGCTGATAGATTTGCGGACACGCAAACCTGTGGATTTCTTGAGAGTCTAGTAGCATTTATTGTTATTTATTTGTACTTGAGTGTGCAGTGTGCATTGTTGAGCGGGAAACTGTAATGTTCATGCATCGTTGCTGTCAGCCGGTGTCTACACCGAGTCGCAATTCGCATTTCTACGGAGACCACCTCATGCACTAACCTCGTGCACGAATCGCCCCCGATTAATCCGCCGAGATATATCGAGATCAATGCGAACGTCGCGATCGATTGGGCGAGATCGACGAGATCGAGTCGCGAAAGTTCGGCGAAATACGCGCGAGTAGGAGTGTCGACAACATTGTTACTACCTCCATTAAATAGGTAGCACAGTCGCTAGTGTATTTATTTTCAATGGCGCAGATCTCTCCGGTTCAGTGCCTATATCGAGTAAATGATCGACACATTCGGATTAGATTAGTCTCGTCGGGCGTGAATCGAACAAGTAGTCGCATCCGATCGCGCGCAAAGTCGCGTTCGAAGCGCGATCGACATATTTCACGTACAAAGCGAGAAAGAGAACTCCCGCTCCGCTGAGCGAACACAATAACGAGATCTGAGCTCCACTATTTCGTTGTTAAGACACCGTGTTGCCTGCAAACTACCGGGAAATTATCCGGAAAAAAGAGAGAGAGAGAGAGAGAGAGTGTGTGTATGTGTATGTGTGTGTCTTTGAATCTCACATAAGGAGTAAGAAAATGCGACCAACAGGAGAAAAGGGAAAAAAAATACGCAAGAATCCAAGAGACGTCTGAAAGAAGTTTCGCTACTTGGCACACTCTCTGATCTCTCAAGGTGTTCTTCGGATTATTTGTTATTGTTTGTAAGATAGAGAGAGAGAGAGAGAGAGAGAGAGAGAGAGAGAGAACGAGAAGAAAAAATAAGATATTTGTGATACCGTGAGACTATTATTGGAAACTATACATCTGACGCAATCTAAAGTGTATGTATGTGTGTGTATGTGTTTCGTGTATGTATAAGAGCTGGTGTAGCGTTTATCTCTTGAAGACTAATTTTTCCGTGAATTTTGGGATCGAATTTTGCTTTTGTCGAATGTGATATATATACGCGCGTTGTATATACAAACGTGAGGATTCGTCGTCGTGCGGTCTTTTGATACGGTTCGGGTACTTAGAGAGAGGGGGAGGGAGAGGGAGAGAGAGAGAGAGAGAGAGAGAGAGAGAGAGAGAGAGAGAGAGAGAGAGAGAGAGAGAGAGAGAGAGAGAGAGAGAGAGAATTTTCTAGCAATCCTAGTCACGCCCCTTTTTCACGTTTCTAGATGTAAGAGCGACGAGTGTCTCACTGCCATCGTTGTTAACGCCGTGGTAACGCGTTGCTAACTGTATCTCCAGGCTGTTACGTTTATAGTTAATTGATAGCACACACTATTTATTAGTTGCGTTTACGCGCGTTACACTTGTTGAGAGTTCATCATGTGCGAATTATTACTTGTTGTTGCGGCGGAAGGCCGCACGCGAACGCTTCCTTCAGCTGTCGGCGAGATTCGCGAGTCACGTCGCCGTGGGGGAGGAGGGGGATTTCCGTGCGACTTCCGACGTTGCAGACCTTCGTATGCATTTCCCGAGAGTGGCGCGATGCGATGCGACGCGTCCCGTCAGAACCCGGTCGGAACGAACCCGGTAACGTTGCACCGACGTTATCGTTTCCTCACTCTGCGACGTAGGTGCGATCGATCGAGCACGTATTGTGCTTCGACAGCGGCATTGTCGTGCCGGGAAACTGCGATTGTTGACGCAACGTTATCGTCGTCGCCCGTTGTCGGCCGGGCCGGTTGTTCTACTTCCTGTTATCGTGTATATTAACGTCGCTATTATAGTTCTACCGCTAGCTCCATTATTATTGTTATCACTCTATTACTATATTATCATATATAATTATTGATATTATTGTAATAATTACATATATATATATATATATTATATATATATATATACACACACACATATATATATATATATATTATGGATATTGCTGCTATCGCTATCGACACGTAATCGATAATACTATTGTTACGACAGTGATCGCAATTATCTTTAGTGCAAGTATTAATCACTCGCTAGCAGTAATGGCAATTATTATTAGCATCGCGCGTCCGTGTATACTCGCGAGGCAATCCGCTGCATCATCCGGGTGAACCGTCACGATCACTGTGAGTGCAGTGATATTATCACCGTCATCATTATTATTATTATTATTATTATTATTACACTTTACTTTCTTTGTCGGGATTTCATATCGCATCACGATTGTGCGCGCGTTTCATACAACGAGAGGCAGCGATTAACACTAAGGATCTCAGACTTCCCGCTTTGTTCGTCTTCCGTGATGGGGAAATGAAGCGTTAGATTCGCAGCAATAGAGGCGCTGCTCTCCGCGAGGAGAGCGCGGCGTGTAAGTGTTAGAGGTGAGGAGAGTGTCGTTAGCGAGACATTTAATAAAACCTACATTTTTGATAAAGCACCAGCTGTGTGTGTGTGTGTGTGTGTGTGTGTGTGTGTGTGTGTGTGTGTGTGTGTTCACTGCAAGTTTTTATAGCCTGACTTTCCTTTGCTTCGTTCTTTATTTCATGCTCTGTGTCCTTTGCGTTACGCTTTAACTTACAAGAATCTATATGTACATTGAACTCGGTCTTTACATAGCTATTTTTGAAACGCTAACAATGCGATGTTCATTTCCATATTTGGCTTTCCCTACAGACGAGCGGAGGATAAAAAAGGAGGATAATGCTGGTAAACTCGATGTGTCTCGCTTGAAAGATCGCGCGTCTTGCATGTTCCTCGGAGGAACAAGTTCGCATTCCTCAAGTAAATAAGCCTTACGTTACGTTCGCCCCGTTGCGGCTTTTAAAACTCGAAAATATTTCGCGTATCCTTCAAGAAACTTTCGCCCCAAAGTAAACGGATATTACTGCGGAACTTTTCCTACTTTTGATCGTGTCGGTCGTGATTTACAGATAAATATTAACACATTGAATGCCGCGACCGGTGACCAACAGTCTAGGATACTACCTCGCCTCTTGTTGAATTACATAATTAACGTATAAATTGTATATAGTTACATTTAGAATATTGGTTACGCAATTACATTTGGAAAGTACGACCAAAGAGATCCAAACGGCACAACTCTCTGGAGGATGTCCTGGAGACATCTAGGAGACATTCTGTTCCCCTAGAGCCTTTTTAGAGCTTTCTCGCCAAAAGTTGTGATAACATTTCAAACTTGAGAATTGCGACGTCTGACAGCTGAGAAAAAACGCCTTTTCCCAGAAATTATGTCACAGTTTCGGGTTGGGAGCAAACGATTAACATTAGAATTACCGACATATTTTCAAAGAACATAAATATTGCAGGGGAAAAAGTGATTCTGTATTTCTCTTGCTTTCATTCGACGTTAGTCAAAGTTATAAAACGCACCATCATAAGTTTCTCTAATCTTTCGAAGAAATTACAAACACGTCTCCTCCGATCGCTTTGGTAGTTCTAGTGTTAAATACTCCCTATGCTCTTTGCGTCTCGAACCTTAGGCGTCTTTCACGTGTCTTTGAGGTATCCTTTTTCTCTCGAATTGCATTGGTTTACCGGTAATTATCCTCGGTAATTCAATCACCAGTTGAACTCTCGTACGATCTATGGGAATCCAGTCGACATCCAGCCAACGTGTTAATTATATGAGAAGAGAGAGGAAGTAGGGAGGGGGGCGGTCGTATCACTGTAGATTATATCGCTTCTCTCATCGCGATCTTCACGCTCATCGCGTTCCATCCTGCATCCTCGTTCAGAGAGGATCCGCTCAGAACTCGTACTGGGAGACGAAGATGATGATCTTGGCGACGGCGCTGCCGACGAACTTGCTCTCGTGATAGATCTCCATGCTGAGATCCAACTCGATCTCCTGCGGCCCCGGGATGCTGCGCGTCATCACCAACACCGCTTGAGAGAGCGACGGTTTCCTCAGGCTGAAGCAGGACTCCGTGGCGCGCGCGACTCCAGGCGCCGCGCGCACGTCCATCAACGCCATGGTGAACTGTATCGTCGAGTCCGGGTGGTGGTTGCCCCTCATGGTGAACAGCTCGAGCTGGCCGGTGCTGGGGATCGGCAACATGCTCACGAAGGTGATGAAGTTGTAGGAGTAGTGCAGGGGTGAGCGAATGCAGGCCAGGTCACCCCACGGGCAACTCCTCAAGGAGCGCACGCAACGGCTGAAACGACGAGCAATTTGTTAATATACATTTCATTATACTTGATTACTATCCATATATCTAATAATCATATGAATATATCAGTTGTAATTACAAACGCAGGTGATCGGTAGTGCGATTTTGCAGATAATTTTAATCCTTGACGCAAGTAATCACCAATTATCTCCAATTGGCAGTTACCTGCGCTCAGAATTGCCGCTCAAGGCCGCGGTAAAATCGTAACTCGAGACTCCCGTCCTCTCGCCACGGCTATCTTGATCAATGACGAGAGAAGCGGGAAGACGCGTGCGACAAATTCTCACGAGATAGACAGAAGAGACGCGATTCATGAGATGATCGATCGATCGGTCGATCGAACGGGTTCGTCGAATATTCCGGAAGTTTCCTCCTTGGTCCAATGATGATCAATAGACAGGCAGGTAGCCGTGAGAGGATTCGCGTGACAGAATTACATACCATAGTTATGAAGTAGCCTGAGCGAGGAGAATTGTATATAATTATATGTAAATTGTATATGATTGCATTTGAATCAATATTGAAATATGAATCTTTTAATTGAACGATCACGAGCTGCCAAAAACACAAGCAGTTACTTCAGTTTTTACAACAGCATTCTTCTTCTTGCGGATGTATGATCATATGAAGACAAAATTCACATATAATTACATAAAAATATAGTCATTTTTCGACGGGCAGAGTTGTATGACTTCTATGTTATAAAGCCGATAATACTTTATAATCAGGCATAACTTTATTTCTTTTTTATAACTTTATTTATTTATAACTCTATTTTTTCATGGCCTTCCGTAGTTAAGAAAAACGGTCAAATTACATTATTGGACAAAGTTACGCTTGATTATAAAAATATCGACCTTGAGTTGTTCGCAAAAATCCCCACGGACTGATCAAAGCGTTCTTTTTCCTGCAAATGCGTGATCATATGAAGACAAAATTCACATATAATTGCATATAATCATTTTTCGTCGAGCAGAGTTGTATGACTCCTATGTTACAAAGCCGATGACGTCTTATAATCAGGCATAATTTTATTTTTTTTTTTATAACTTTCTTTATTTATAGCTTTATTTTTTCATTCTCTATTTTGGCCTTCCGTAGTTGAGAAAAATGCTCAAATTACATTGTTGTGAATAAAGTTACGCCTGATTATAAAAACATCGACTTTGAACTCTTCGCACAAATCCCCACGAACTGATCGAACAACCCGACAAATCCGTTTTACATCCGCGCCACGCTTTACAATCATTACTTTTTCTTCGCGGAGTCCCGATGATATCCCGCCGGACAGTTTATCCTGTTGCAACGGTAACTGCCGCGCGTGTTGTGGCACGTCTCGTCCGGGTTTCTGCAGACCTGGCCGGTCGCACACTCGTCGATGTCTGCGAACAGCGCACGGGGGAGGAGACAATTAAGTTCGTATGGCACGTGGCGAAATCGTGACCGCGACGACGGCGACGACGATGTCGTGATTGCCCGAGATTGAGGAGATTGTGGGAGGAGGGACAGCGGTGAGCACCGCCAGGGCGATGCTCCAGTTCGCCGGCAAACAGGTCAAGTACAAATCGAGCCGCTTAACCGCCGGACAAAGTAGGTGGAACGCGTGCCACCGCTCACTCTCGCTCGCTATCCGCTGTGTTCTCCGCCCCCCCCTCCCCAATTAACTTTTGCATCATCGCGCTATCGATTCGCGCCGTTAACAGGCCCGCTCGATAAGCCGAGATCTCCGATTCGCGGGCAATTAGACGTCCGTCCTCTCGATATGATGCTTGCACTCATGCCCGAGGAGTTTAATTTGCCGTTGCAAATTATTTTTTTCTCTTTTCTACGGCGACTTAACAACGTGACCTTTTCCGTTAATGCCGGCGTTTCTTGACCAACGGTAACGAGTATAAACTTGAGTTACTTTCACCGTTGGCTTCATGTAGATGCGATGAGCGCCGAAGAGTCGCTGAAGAAACGGTCTTGGAAATTTGGCGAGAGAGATCAGAGAGAAATTCTAGCGACTCGTTATTTCTTGAGTGACAGGTCGGAGCAAATTTCCTCACGGAAAGGAGAAGAATAGTTTGCGAGATTTGTGCTGCTTGAGGAGTTGCTTCCAAAGGGAAATCTCCCCAATCTCGTGGAGCTTACGCGTCGGGCAGAGAGAGAGAGAGAGAGAGAGAGAGAGAGAGGCGAACCTTGACACGTCCGACCATCGCTGCCCAACCGGTAGCCATCGGGACACTTGCACGCGTAGCTTCCCGGCGTGTTCTCGCAGATGCCGATGCAGAGGTTATTGTCCTTGAATTCCATGCACTCGTCTATGTCGCTGCACGACCGATTGTCGGCGTTCAATCTGAATCCGCTGTTGCATCTGCATTGGTAACTGCCCCAGACGTTGAGGCACACGTGCTGACACAGTCCTGGTATGCGCTCGCACTCGTCGATGTCCTGGAGAAGATATCATTCATGGAGACAACTCGAGAGAGCCCTCGACGAAGCTGGAAACCGACGAAAACTCACCTGGCAGAGGCCGGCACCCCTGTTGTTCTCGAAGCCTTCCTCGCACAAGCACCTGAAGGAGCCGGCGGTGTTCTCGCAGCGGCTGTTCAGCCCGCAGATGCGAGCGCCGTAGACGCTACACTCGTCGATGTCGACGCAGTCGTTGTTGGGACCGTCGACGTAGCCCGGCGGACAGAGGCAGTGATAGCCGCCCGGTCTGTTCTCGCAGACCTGACCCTTCGCGCACTCGTGGCTTCCTTCGCGGCACTCGTCTATGTCAAGGCAATGTTGCCCGCTCACGGGGTCCAAAGCGTAACCGGGGGGGCAGATCACTCTGGACACGCACCTGAAAAATTCTCCGGTTGTTCAGATCGTCATTTCCAGGCCGTAACGCGAAGAGGCTGAAGAGCGGAGACGTGTCGGCGGATCGCGGAGATAATCGACTACTTGTGCGGGAATGTCTCGGCCTTCCCGCGCCGGATTGCAACAACGCGCCGTGAGCACCTTTCTTATCTCTCTTTCGCAGTTCGCCGCGACAAATTCGCGTCTTTCATCAGCATCTTCACCCTCATCATCTATGTCGTCATAAACATCAGATGCGCGTCTGACACGTTCCTCGAGTTGGGTAAATTTCAATTATCGAGAAGGGTGTTAAGTGTTACAAATTTTAGCGATAACAGCCAACAAATTTCGAGCATAGTTTACTCTGGAAGGCAGGGTTTGCCCTGAAGGTATCCTTTACCGTTTCCTGGTACTTTCCAGTAAAAAAGAGAGATACTGAAATCTCCCGACAGTTGCGAAACACCCTGGACTATTCAGTCTCACAGAGACGCTCACGAATCCTCAGCGCAAGCAAGTTAACCCTTTCACTGTTAGTGAGAAGTATACTTCCCACTTTTTCTTGATTCAATTTTGCATTGTAAATCACATAATTTTGAAGAATTAATCGGGGATTTGAGTTTTCCAGATAACTGAATAGTAGTTGTTCAACATATTTCAATAGGTCTTTATACCCAATTATTCATTTGTGATTATTTATAACAAATCAAAATTGGAAAAAAATCGATTCCTCGGAGAGTATTGAATGTAGAGGTCTGAAATGTTCACCAGATATTTATTCTGATGTTGTACAAAAACATATATTTTTTTCAGTATTTTTGTGCAGGTTAGATTTTTTTTTATAAACAAATATTTCTACAAAAACGGACAAAATTTGATTTTTTTGCACTTTTTAGCTCTATTTTCCTAGTTTTTTCATTCTGTATCTCCATCTCTTATCCATACTATCAATATTATTTTACTAAAAAGTGAAAGTTTAATCTCTAGTAAGCATAAATATGCAGTATCGAACATTTTCCCACATAAATTTTTTCCAGCTCGATCGAGTTCCATCGTCTAGAATCGTATGTTCATATTACGACCTGGTCATTATTTAATAATAATTGGAATTTTCATTAATTTTGTACATCATGATCGCCATATTGAGTCCGCCACTTTAAATTTTGCAAATCTGACTTTAGATTCGTAATCAGCGACCCAAAAAACGTAGGACTATCAAATATTTTAATAATTTTCTCAAGGGAAGTTAATTCAGCAGTGAAAGGGTTAATCTACAGAGGACGACCTCGTCTCTGAGAGCGCACCTGAAGGATCCCAGAGTGTTGACGCAGTTCTGCCGGCCGCAGGGATTCGGTGTCCTCCGGCACTCGTCGATGTCCACGCATTTGCCGCCGGAGCCGGACTCGAAGCCGCGCGGGCAACTCGGCCATGAAATAGCCGGCGTCAACGACGTCGGTGCAGTCGTCGTGGTCGTCGTCGTCGTAGTCGTCGTCATCATCGTGGCTCTCGAGATCGGCAACGTGCGTGGCTGCGGAGTCGGTATACGCGGGATGCGGTCGCAACGGTAGGAACCGAGGGTGTTCCTGCACTGGTAGCCGCCGCTGCAGTCGTGGGTACCCAGGGCGCACTCGTCGTCGTCCTCGCAGATCTCCGTCGCGGCGTTCAGGGTGTAGCCGGTGCCGCAGGGTAAGAAGCGCGTGCAGGTGTAACTGCCGATGGTGTTGTCGCATCGCTGAGTCGACAAACAGTCGTTCTGCTGTAATGACGAAGAATGTCGATCAGAAGCGGCGAGACAGTCTCTCCTCGAAGAGACATCGCCGGAGATCATTGAGACTCCTGTCTTGACCGTGGCGTGATGGTCGAAAATTGTCCATTCGTTTTAATAGTTCGCAATTGGCAGCGAAACTAACATGACGTGTGGCTTAATTGTCAACTGCGAGATCTTGCCATATGAATCTTACGGCCATTCGATGATGATTGAAGCAAAGAAAGGGAGCGCGAGACGGAGGGAATATTTTTATATTTTATGTATATATATATATACATACGGAGTGTACATATAAAGTTAATGTGACAAAATCTCACAATTAAAAGTTAAGCCACGTGTCATATTAATGTCACGACTATTTCTGAATTATTAGAGCGAGACAGAAAAATCTGGGTAATATTTTACAATAATGAATAAAAATTTTTCTAATATCGCGTAAATCTCTATTCATCATTGCATAAATCTTTGTTCATCATTTCACGAACACCTCTGTCATCATCATTTCATGGTATCTCCTTATTTCAATATCGCACTTTGCGATAAACGCACTTTGGACGTGTTGTGACCAAAATGTAAAACTAGGTTTATGGATCAAGAAGGAAGGAGCGGATAATCTCTTTAGTTCAAACCACGATTGAAAATCCAGCCCTTGAAGAGACCCCGCGGTCATTCGTCTTCCTCGGCCGGGCGCGAGGGATCACAATGTTCAACGCCTTTCGTAAACATCGGACGTGTCGGCTCGCGCGCACGTGAGGCACGTGTTCGCGCGGGCGAGCGTTACGGGCGCCTCGTCGTCGTTACCTGCAACTGACACTCGTTGATATCGACGCAAGCCTGCGTGAGATTATCGCGGCGGAAACCGGTCTTGCAGGTGCAGGTGTAGCTGCCCATGGTGTTGACGCACTCTTCGTTGCTGCTGCACGCGTCCTCGAGCTCCTTGCACTCGTTGATGTCGACGCAGCCGCGATTCCTCATTAACCTTGTGCCATCCATGCACCTCTGATTGTTACCCGGCGCCGGCAACGCCGTCGTCGACGGCTTCCTCGTGATCGGAGCGGGCGGCGTCGCGCAGCTGTAACCACCCGGTTGGTTGTAGCAAATCTCATCGCCGCACGTGTCCAGCCCCTCCGCGCACTCGTCTACATCTACAGTTTCGGATGAAATATGTGTCTCAGTGCTCAGGAGGATGAAACTTGCGGGAGTGTCTTGTCTTTCGTTTCAAAGCTGTTTTTCGCTGAGGCTTTCTCTCTCTCTCTCTCTCTTTCTCTCTCTCTCTTTTTCGAATGAATCTGACATCAATACAATCGAATATTAAGATATCGAGATATGAGATATTAATATCACAATATAATTTGGTGTATTAATTACGGTGTAATTAATATTAATATAATTAACACATAACGAAACACCAGTTTGCAGAATACGACTAAATAATGAAGCATTACCGTTCACTTACAACATAAACGAAATGAAATGTCTCGTCGCTTAATAATCGCCGAATCGTGATTCTGAGATAAAGCGCAATGAGCGTTAGGTGAAAGTTAATCGAAGGACGTGCAGGACGCCACAGGACAAAAGCACGATAACATCCAGTCGTACAATGTATATAAATACGTGCACTGCAAAGAAATCGTAATTATGAGTAAAAACGTGCAGTTCTCATAAAAGTTGACAGACGCTACGTCTCATTCACCCATGCATCTGCGAAAAATTTCTCGGGCGTGCTTATCCTGACTAGCATGCTTAGCCGATTATCCTGAGCTCGGTATCATTCTGACGAGTTCTGAAAACACGAAAAGTATCTGAAATTGTTCTTAATACACATATACACATATATAGAAGCGCAATTAATTCTAAAAACCTATGTCTATGCTATAACTCGACAACGTAAACGAACATAATTAGATACAGCCGATAAATATACGACATAAATATATACACATCATCAATGTATTTACGACTCAAGTGAAAAAAAGCATCTTCTTGTAATTGTAAAGAACAAATCTCTCAGAATATCGAGAATCTCACTAGACGTACCCGTGCATGAACGCAAAAGATTGTGGTATCGGTAGCCGGAAGGACAGGCGGGACGTTGACGTGGACGTTGCACGGCAGGTAGAGGTCTCTGGCACCTGTGAAGATATCGCGCGATTAGAGGGAAATCGATCTCTGTTGAAGGAGCGAAAACTCCATTAATATGATGAAATTGCATCAGACGAACGTAATACGCGTAGTTTCATTTGTCGAGAGTAAATGATTATATATGTAATTTTTGTCTCTATATGATTATGTATAAAGCCATATCAATATTTTTTTATGTAATTAACCCTTAATCCTATGTGAAATTTATGTGAAATAATTAATAAGTCTTTCAAAAAAAAGATACCGATTATTTTGCTTAGAATTCCATATGAAAAAAAAATACTGCTTGTTGGAGAGAGGAAAAAATTTTGCTGGCATTACCTTCGATTTTTTTTATTTTTTTTACATTGCAAGCAGTTCGCAATGATCTCAATGCTAAGAAATTATTTCAACTTAAAAATGTTAATAAATCATTGCTGATATATTTTGAAATAATTAGCTTGGGTCACAAAAGTTAACTTCTAAAATTAACTTTACAACTTAATTTTTGATTGATTAATTAGTTATTAGGTAAATCGGTAAGTTCCGTCCGTTTAGCGACAAGTAGCTATAGCTAGAACTGTCGTTAACCTCTAATGTCTAAACGAAGCTTAATGATTTGTTTTGACATCTGTCAATAACATTCAGTACATAAAAGTATACGTTTGCATCAATAACATTGTTTTTCACTGCATCGAAAATGTCGAAATTTGAGCCAAATAAGCGTCATTTGCGCGGTGTTAATCTTTTGCTTCATTTGGAAGAAAACTGCAGCTGAAGCTCATCGAATACTTGTAGAAATTTATGGTGATAATGTTCCTTCCGATAAAACATGCAGAAAATGGTTTCGACGCTTTAAAAGTGGTGATTTTGATGTAGAGGACAGAGAGCGTTCTGGAGTATTCCAGGCCAGGAGTATTCGAAGACGAAGAATTGCAGGCATTGGTGGACGAAGACCCATGTCAAATGCAAAAGCAACTTGCAGAAGCATTAAATTGTGCTCAGTCTGTCATTTCTGGTCGTTTGAAAGCCTTAGGAAAGGCTTTACAAGGAAGGAAAATGGGTCCCATATGAACTGAAGCCAAGAAACATTGAAAGGCGAAAAATCACCTGCGAAATTCTGCTTGCTAGGTAACATAGAAAGGGGTTTTTACATCGTATCATCACTGGGGATGAAAAATGGATTTATTTTGACAACCCGAAACGTCGAAAAACTATTTGCGATCCCGACCAACCCTCAACATCGACGTTAAAGCGGAACATCCATGGAAAAAGGGCAATGCTCTGTATTTGGTGGGATCAGAAGGGTGTGCTGTACCATGAGCTGTTGAAAAGCTGTGGTCAAACAGTCACAGGGGATCTCTACAGAGAACAAATGATCCGTTTGAGTCGAGCATTGCAGGAAAAACGACTAGAATATGAAACGAGGCAGCATACAGTGATTTTGCTTCATGACAATGCTCGGCCTCACGTCATACGAAATCTGTCAAGGAAACGTTAGAAGCACTTCGCTGGGAAGTGTTACTCCATGCGACTTATTCACCAGACTATGCTCCTTCTACCACTTGTTTCGGTCGATGACACACGCACTTGCTGAGGAATGCTTCAATGCTTATGAAAACGGAGTCAAAAAATGGGTCTCTGACTGGATAGTCTCCAAAAGATGAATCATTCTTTCGCCGCGGAATTCGCTTGCTGACCGAAAGATGGGAAAAAGTCATCGCTAACGCTGGACAATACTTTGATTGATGTACTTTTTCATTTTGTTTCTGAAATAAAGCCATACGTTTTGCAAGAAAACGGACGGAACTTTCCGATTGACCTAATATTATTAACCAACCTGGATTATAAGTATATACGACCGTATAGAGATAAAATTTATGCACGGGAACCATATATAATTATGTATAGCTTTATATAATTATATATAATCATTTGTTCGAGTTTGATTAGTTATCGACCGTACGACCAATTTTCCAAATGCAATTATACTTTTTTTCATGCGTAACTTAGTGAAACATGATAATATCGTAGAATGCCAGTCGCTAATGATCGTCAATGTTAAATTCCTCCGGCCGCTTTTCCATGAGACGTCGATCCTTACACCCGCATTTCGGACCCCATCGACTGTAATTTCACGCACCTGTACGTGCCCGGCAAGTTGATGCATCTCTCGAGGAATCTCATGTCACAGTTGTACTTTCCGGTCAGGCACTCGTCGATGTCCTCGCATTGTCGAGTGCCCAAAGAATATTGGTATCCGGCTGAGCAAGAGGGCAGTCTAGTCAAACACTCAAAGCTACCTTCCTTGTTCACGCAATATTGATGCAGATCGAGGCGGCAGTTGTGCAAACTCTCGGAGCACTCATCGACGTCCAAGCAAGCGCCGTTGAAAGCTCGTCGGAAGCCCGGCTTGCAGGGCGGTATTAATTCGCACACAAAGGATCCGTTGGTGTTGACGCATCTGTGAATTAACATTTGCGAGCGTTTATACGCGAATCCATGACTTTAAGGCGAAGCATGCGCATGCGTACGATTTTTGACACGAAGACAACACACCTGTGGGTACCCTGAGAACAATCGTGTCTGCCCAACAGGCATTCGTCCACATCTTGACAGCTCTTCGTGGCTGTGTTGAAGAACCAACCGGTGCTGCAGAGCGGCGAACAATCGTAGGCTCCTGGAATATTCGTGCATCTCTCATAATCGCGACAGCCCGGTCCGACCAGGCACTCGTCTATATCCACACAATATCCTGTGCTAGCTTCTCTCTTGTAGCCCAGTCTGCACGGTTCCGTGGACCAATAGCGATCCGCTTTCTGCAAACGCAAGCATGGATGCATGGTGTCATTAGATTAATGCGAGAGATTCTTGACGTACTTTTACCAAGTGAAATTAGAAACAAACTTATTCAGCGTGTAGATCGCTCGGTTTTATTTCACATTTTGTGTCTCCCAATGCAAGGGTGAGGGGTGTTTGTGGGTGTAATTAATTTTTAAATTAAAATACGCTCTCATCACACATATATACACACTTTTAGTTCGCGTTGTATGTAAACGATACTTGTGCATTCGTTACCCACGTTATTCAACAAATCGCGGCTTCTAGACGTCTGCGCGATCTTGTAGCGTGAGTCGTTGAAGGTTCTTCTGGTTGTGCTGCTGGGCGTCGTGGTCGTTGTGGTAGTCGTGGTGGTAGTTGTGATGGTTAACGGCTCACAAAGATAAGAACCGTTTGTATTGAGACAACGATGAGTCAAGCGATTGCAATTGTGCAGCCCAAGTGAACATTCGTTTATGTCCTCGCAGGGATCCTCGGTGTCGTTGACGAGATTCAGGCGCAGTCGAAAGCCGGTCGTGCAGGTCGGTGAGCAGCGGTAACTACCCTCCGTGTTCACGCAACGTTCACCAATTCCGCAGATCGCTAGTCCATTGGCGCATTCATCAACGTCTGGAATGCGTCAGATTATCATTGCATTTTCAACGATACGAAGTAATAAAACTACGCAGCCAGAAATGATGCATTGTCGATGATGAAGTTGTCGATCCAATGCTTGTGCCAAAATTCCGGAATATTTGAACAATAAAATGTTGCGTACATAGAAAGCTCATTATATTTCATACATTTTTCAATGTATACTTTTCATATATACTTTTTAGTATTTTGAAATGTATTTTGTAAATGTTTGATATAAAGTTTTTCTGTCGTTTCGATGTTCGACAACTTTTCAACATTGACGACATCGAAACCATGTCGTTTCGACGAGTCATTGCTGGCTAAATTTCTGCTGATTTCCGAGCGAAAAGAGTTATGTATCATTATATGAAATTATATATAATTATATATAAATTATATATAACTCACATATATTTGAACTATGGCTCTATACGACCACACATACATATATAATTTTATACGTCTAAAAAATGTTGTTAAATGAAGAAAAGTGAGCATTCGTTTCGTTCAACTAAACGTCTACATCACACGTTGCCACAAACATAAGCAGTTATTTTAATATATTTGTACAACAGTTTTTGCTCCGTAAAAGATAAATAATTTTATACACAATATCTGCACAATATAATTATTGTTTCTCGGATCGGTATTGGTTGCAAAAATGAGTCGTAGTTACCGATACAACGACGCGATTTCCCATCGAAGAAGTAACCATTGTCGCAATGCTCGACTTCATTATTACGATTAGTGACCGGCGAGGTGCTCGTTTCATCCAACTTGTAACCTCCGTTGTATCGGTCATCGCGTCGACCGTCGCCGCTCTTCTTCGTGGTGGATACGCCCTCGTCGTGTTTAACCGGCACGCATCTAGTTATTATTTCGTTCGATTAAAACAAACTCGTCGCGCTCAAAGACTCCTGACAGTGTTCTAGGATGGCGGAACTTCGCATCTAGTTATTATTTCGTTCGATTAAAACAAACTCGTCGCGCTCAAAGACTCCTGACAGTGTTCTAGGATGGCGGAACTTCGCACCTATAACTGCCGATCTCGTTAACGCAACGTTCGTCGGGCTCGCAGGAGTGAAGTTGCTCGCTGCATTCGTCGACATCTATGCACGTTATTTCGGAGTCGTTCGCGGGCTTATAGCCAGCGGAGCAAATCAGCGGGCTCAGTGGCTTCTTTTGACGCTCGAAGAGATCCTTCTCGATCGGCAGCCGCGGAAGAGAGTCTCCCGAGGATCTCACGCACTCGTAAGCACCCACGGTGTTGACGCATAACGTGTCGGGCTCGGGACAAAGATTGCTCGACTCGACGCACTCGTCTACGTCTGAGAAAAGAATTGCATGAGGTGTGTAAATGTGCCAATCTCTGGATTAGGAACTGTTACGGAACATGATACATCACTTAGTCATAAAAAGAATCTTCTTTATGCGATTAATTAAAAGTGAGGCTATTTCCCGAGAGTAAAAATTAATCAATCGGATATTAATTTTCGCGATATGCGATTTAATTAAAATATTTAATTCTATGACGAATATTTAATGATAATAAAATAATTTATGAAGTGAATATACCTGGACGTCTGTTTTGTATGATAATTTTAATAGAGTCAGCAGGAATTAAACTAAACTAATATTTAATACTTTATCATAGTGTCCCATTTTTTTTTAATTCGGGACGATTTAACTGATCATTTAATTGAGCATGAATATGTTTAAAATATCTCCGCCAATGAGTGAAGTAGTTAGTAGAGATGTGTGAATCAAGAATTTTTATGTCGAATCGAATCGAATTGAATCTCATTTTTTAAATTCGAATTCGAATCGAATAGAATCTATACAATTTTATTCGAATACGAATCGAATCGAATGAAATCGAATCGAATCATTAAAAAATTTAACATGACTATTAAACATGCAAATAATGATGGAAGATTTTAATATGAAAGGGAATATTGATATTGTAATATCATCTTAAAGTAGAATATATATATTTAAATATTTAAAGTAATTTATAATTAAGTTATTAATAAGTTAAGTTAATTACAAGTTAAGGGTTCAAACATACAGGCCCAGATGGCCCATTTTGCAGCTGATACGCGCAAACGCTAATGTATTTGATTCGTATTCGAATTTTCACGATTCGAAATTTTCGAATTATTCGGATTCGAATCATAGGGATTCGAATCGAATCGAATCGAATCTAATGTAATTCGATTCGACTCGAATTCGAATAGTTCGCACATCTTTATTAGTTAGTTATTTTACAAATAATTCGTCCGACTACTCACCGACGCAGATACCCAAACTAATACTGTACGTGAATCCTTTCTCGCACTTCATGTCGCACTCGTAAGCACCCTCGGTGTTGCGGCATTCTTCGACGTCCGTCAGACAGCTGTGAATAGCCTCCGCGCACTCGTCCACGTCTGATCGGCAAGTGAGCAAATGAGAAGACATCGTTAACGACAGCCGCGAGTCTCAATTTACTACCCGACGATGATAACGAAATCGAGGCCCGGGGGCAAGATAACGCGATGTTATCGTGCAATAATTCGTTACCCTTGCATTGTTGCGACAACTTGTCGTACTTGAATCCGGCGGGGCAGGACTTCGCTCCGGTCATTTCCAAGCAAGCATAACTGCCCTGTGTGTTCACGCAGAACGGCTTAGCGGCGGTGCAAGCGTTCAATAAAACAGAGCACTCGTCGATATCTGGAAGAAGCGTGACGACCCCAGTAAACGAGGAACGTTGGATTAAATATTTGAAAATATCGATTTTACATGCATCTCTTGGGCGTTCCGGCTGAATATTTTATAAACGCTTCGGAAGAGCCACTGGACGATACGTAATTTCCCCGGACATTATAAAAATATACTAAAGGTATTGAAGTGTGTCAAAGTTGTTCATAGTGACGGTGCGTTGTCAACTATACAAATACATTTGCGAATACCGTCGCAATTGCTTTTAATAATCGCTCTCGCGAAAAATATAATTCCATTTTAAATACGTTCACACACACAAGAGATAACCAAATGCATATCACCCAAAAAAAGTATTCTATTTGCTAAATGTTTTTTGCCGTAGTCTCATATTCTAAGCGAAGCCTTTTACAGAAAAAAAGATTCCTCTTTCGATAAAGTGATTAAAGTGAACCATTCGTCTAAAATTTATTAGATATTGTTCTAACCGTTTTCCTCTTATTTTAAGAGGATTTCCTTTTATATCAATGAATTTATATCAATTAATTTTCTTCTAATATAAAGAGGAATATGGTTAATTCGAATGTCGGCTTCTCTTGTTCAATCATGCTCTACCTCCAAACATGAACGAAAAATAACCATATGCTTATGAGTCAGAATATTTGGAACGCTTTTTAAAAAAGGTATGTGTGTTGCTGTAACATATAAGATAATTTACTCATATTTGATCAAATACAGTTTATAATCTATTGCAAGAGGTTGAATAATATATTCTTTCTTTTAACTATGTTTCATACAAATTGCTTATGATGAACATCTTTGTTATGAAGCTATGAAGTCCATAACAAAACTGATTGGAAATTTGTTTGTTATGATGATCTTATTTCATTCGTGCCCATTTATTGTAGAACTGGAGTCAGAAGTACATCTATATATATATATATATATATAACTTTTCGCTAAACATTATAATTTTTTCAAATTAACTAGTATAACCGGTAGGAATAAAGTACAGTAAGAATGAATAATAACCTTTTAAACAAAGATTAAACAATCTGTGTATAAGAGGAAATTTATATTAAAATCGATAAGATTTGCATTATACATATAACACATATAATCCCTCTAACTTTAAGAATAATGCGTTTATAATACTTTCCTCTTAACCTTAACAAGAGGAATCCTCTTGAGGCCATACGTAAGAATACAATCCTCGCGAATTTCGATGATTCCGCTTGTTCTGAAATTACTTTTTTCTGGGTGATCATAATTTAAAAAACATTTAAAGGCATCCGACAGATATCCTATTTATTTTAAACGTCTTCAAGCTGTCCTTAAGATGTATTTTAAATATTTGTGTATTGTTTGGATAAGGTACGGTCAATGGCAGAAAGATTGCCGTTTTTCATTACCTGTGCACACACCCGCACGTGGCTCCCATTGGTAACCCGGGGGACAAGCTTCGTAGGGCGCGTCCTTGATCGACTTCATCGGGATGCAGACGAACGATCCTATAGTATTCTGACATCTCCCAGGGCACATGCTCCACTCCAGACACTCATCCACGTCTGTGCGACCCGGCGCGCGCGAGCGAGCGCGATGCCAGCATACAAGTGACGATCACATGCGGAAATGGAATGTGCACGATTGCGGTAACAGGTAGGTAGGGTATAGCGCATAGCGATCAGAAAACTTTGATCACATTCGATCACACCCCGATCATCACACAGGTCAGAAGAGAAGAAAATAGATATGTATATATGTATCTCAGTCGCAAGTCACACAAGCGAAACACGAGATAGAGAGGAACGACAGTGTTCCGACAGAGCGAACATAGCGATACAGTCGACGCAGTGTGTGTTGCAGCGCATGTAAAAACAAAATATTATGAGATATCGAGACACGAGAACACGTGTGAGCGTTGCGTCGAGTCCAAACGAAAGCGCACCACAAAGGAGGATGTCTCAGATAACACAAAATGTCATAAAGCTGATATTTTCAAATGAGGCTATTGAATATTCTCAAATCAAGTTTTAATTTACTTTTAGTAGGTCAGTAAGAACCGCGCGAGAATAATGAATAATTTTTCTATACAGGAGATAGTAATGTCGACAACATTGTTTTAAATTTTATAATGTAGATAATGTAGGGCAATTAGCAGCCATTCCATTGTTTATAATCAACCCTGTATCCCGTTAATAAATCTTTTATTCTTATATTCCCCTCCGTTCCAACATAAAAATATTATATTATACAAATATTATATTGCATCGTATAATAAATTTCGTAAAATAAATAAATATATATTTTTGTATTTTTAGTTACATATAAAAATACATATTATATATTTATTTATTTATATTTTAAAATATAAATAAATATATTTGTAGCCGGGGGAAATCTCGATGCCTTCGATACATAGTCAACATTGTTATCCTCCCATAAAGAAATGTTATTTGCTACCAAACATTCTCGCGCGGTTCTTATTGGCGTGAATTAATTCTCCTAAGTTCGTTCTAAATGCAGGACGTCGTAGGACACTCCTCATGGCATTCTGGATACATTCTAAATGATTTTAACACATCTTATGTTATCTGGGGTATCTGAAATTGGTGTTATTTTGTTGCGGTTATTGCTGCAAGATAATGACTTGTGTGCGAATTGAGTATGAACCTCTTTTAGCGTAGCGTCAGCTCGTTGTCTTACCTGCGCGAAGAGCAACTACGCGATACACCGTATACGCGATTTGCTGGTAGTCCTCGGTTGACATACGTACCATCGCACACCTGCTTGGTGACGTTGTAACGGTAGCCCGATGGACACAACAGCGACGATGCGTTATCCTTGTCCGCCGCGTCCGTCGATTTCTTGTTCTTGGTAGTCTTTGGGATACACGAGCGTCCGTCGTCGGCCAAGTCGTATCCCGGATTACAGCTGCATATGACAGCCTCCCCGTTGTCGGTGCAGATTTGCTCGCACGGGTGGGTCGACTTGCATCTACGAGGACGAAGATTTTAAGTCACCGGGTCGATCACGAGGTTGTCGTTGATGAGAAATAGATTTTAGAAATAAAATATATGTACTTTAGAGATTAAGAGAATATGTGTGTGTGTGTGTAAAATTGATTTAAGACTGTAACAATTGATAAAGTTATTTTCTTCAGACGACGCACACACATTTTCATAGCAAAAGGAAAGGGAGTTTTATTCATACCTGTCAGTCGGATCCTGACTGCAGGTTTTTCCGTCCTCCAATAGAGTGAAGCCATCGCGGCACTTGCAATAATACGAGCCCGGCGTCGGTACGCAAATGTCAGAGCAGAGCATGCCTTTCATGAGTTGACAGATATCATCCAGCTCTGTGAATCGGAACGCGTGATTTAAAGTCTCGCTTGTACTCGGTTGTAAAGAGAGAGAAAGAGAGAGAGAGAGATAGAGGGGAAAAAAGTTATGACCAGACATTGAACGACTCTGCGCGTAATCCGCGCTTAGCATTGCGCGATTCGACAATTTGCTCGCGTAATTTTTCACTTCGCCTTGTTATCTGTACATCTACAGATTTTTTTCATCTGTAAGGATTTTGTAATCGGTACATGACGTAATTTACAAATTGTGCATTACCTGGAGTTGGTATCGAATACGGTGTGGATCCCGAGGGCGATGAAGAAGACGAGTACTCCGAAGACGAAGATGAAGGCGATGTCGGCGAAGAGGATAACGATGAGGAATATGACGAGTATGGCGACGACGGCGATGACGAGTACGGCGACGACGGCGACAACGAGTACGGCGACGACGGCGACGACGGCGACGATGAGTACGGTGACGACGCCGACGACGAGGAATCGGTATCAGTGGTCGATGGACTCGTGAGGTCAGTCGTAGTACTCGGCAAATTTTCGTGACAGCACTCCAGGAACGCGGGATCCCACGGGATACCGAAGGAGAAGCTCTTGAAGCCGCATCCTTGGTCCGTCGACGCCGCGTAGATACCTACAACACAATTCCGTCGAGATATAATTCCGTTGTCCGTAATTAATCTACACGATCAACTCTCTAAATTTCTTGGAGTGAAATTCCACTCGAGAAGCAAAGTGACAGCCGAGTCATTTGAAATGGCGCGCCTTTTCACTCGTGTAGAGTGAACTTTTCCGCTCTCAATCGTCGAGTGAATATTTTTATTCGAAATCGAAGAATGAATCCGATGTGTTTCATCGTGTCACGGGAAGTTAGTCTGACTGATTGAAAAGTTCAAGTACGGGTTAAGGACCCACTTGAAGCATGACTTGAAATTATTCATTTATTCATTTATTCATTCTTACGACTGCGAGAAGTGGATGTTACTTTTACTGACGCTTCGAGTGAGACTTCACTCCAAAGAATTTAGAGGGGATGCCTTTAGTAGGCAATCTACGAAAGATCAAGCTGAGACAAGGTCACCTAGTTTGCAACCCTCGCAACAGTCGCGATGGTAGTCGCCGCGGCTGGTTATCTTCGTCCTCCTTGCGCTCGTCACGTTCGATACGCAAGGCAATCCTTGACGCGCGTCCGCTTTTCCCTTCTCGCATTGTAGATCGTGATACTTCCGGACGCAACAGATGTCCACGGCCTTCTGGCAAGGACCTTGCTCCACTGTCGGCACTCCCGGAACGGGCCCGATAAATCTTTCACATCTCAGGCCTTCCTCGGCCCAGGAAGTGCCCAGGCCGCAGCATTTTTCAAATCGATCTTCTATTACCCCCTCGACAACGGACGCTATTATAAAAAGCAACAAGGAAGAAATGAAGACAAAGCAAGACGCGTGAATTTGTTTCGATGATAAAAGTCATCACATCATTATGGAATTTTAACACAATAATGCGTATGTAACAATCCGAATATAATTTGTGAAAAATATACATTATAAAAAAGGATGCATCCAAGCAACTCAAACGAATCAGATGAATTCAATCTCTAAGTTGTACAACGCAAACTAACTGTCCTTATGCCCTCGGTACAATTTCTGCGTTCTTTCAATCTCTCGTTTATGCGAAATCATCTCGTTTGTGATCAACAAGCTCACCGCTCTGGTTATTTATCGCCTGATTTACTCAACCTTCCAACGGGACGTGAAATTACTCAATATTAGACCGACCTTTCAGTAATTGAAAGAACATCCATATCATAACGCGATTACGTTTCAATTTCCTTCAATGCCTAATCTAACCTAATCTTTGAGCTGTATAACCTTTTACTGTGCGGACGAAATCTTGCAATTCAAATACCTACACCAGATTGTTGATCCGACTCGAGATTTTCATAGAATTCGTCTCGACCGCAGTCGACTGTGCAGGAAAATTTGCGTAATTCAGATTTGCTTCCCGATTACTTCTTCAACGGCGCACGATTTTTGAACGCGCCCGTCGTTCCGGGCCGTTTTCGTCCATGTTGCGCGCGCTGTAAATTAACCGCGGCGGCGACGGCGGCGACGAACCGAACGTGGCGGCAAATACAAGTAGGTCAAACGCTCCGTTTGAATTTTGCTCGAAATCATCACGCTTATCGTAGAAGCTGCAAGGAAAACCCACGACAGGGCAGCTAACGTGAGGAAAAAAATGGCGCTTTGCACACTGATAAGAGCGAAGACGAGAGCTGGGATCTCGTCTCCCTTTCTCTCCCTCTCTCTCCTTCTCTCTCTCTCTCTCTCTCTCTCTCTCTCTCTCTCTCTCTCCTTCCTCTCTCACAAAGGCACTCGCGACGCTTTCTGGATGACAGATGTGAGTCGCGCGCATTATTTGCGATCTAATATATCAATCTAGCGCGCGTAAATGGTTTCTGCGAAGAGCTTAGAGATCCGCCAATAGCGCTCTCACGATCTCAATTGTTTCTCGATGCGTCCGTGAGATCCGTAATGCGAAAATTAATTTATACCAATCGAGACGCGCGTATACCACCATAAGAGACGTGTGAATAATCTGAACTTTAATACGAAATATCATTTCGACGTGTCCTTAATACGCAATATATTAATGCAACATTAATATCAGATTATTCGCGATGAAGCTACCATATAATAGCACGCATCTTCTCTTTTCTTTCACTATTGTATCCTTTTTCATCTTTTCTTTCCTCCTTTCTTTCTTCCTCCCTCCCTCTCTGATTCGTCTCTCATGTTTCTTTTCTCGTTTATCCCCCTTTTATCTTGCGATCGTATTTACATCTAATATATTTTACACGAAAGAAATGATTTGTAGGTAAGTAAATAAATAAACAAATAATAATTCAGCGTCAATAATCAGCTTCGCGTTACATTTGCGTAAAGAAAAATCCTGACCTTTTTATTCCTCAAAGAGAAATTTATCTCTCAGAGAATTTTTGTGTTTTTTTTTTTTAAGGAAGACTGACATTGAGATCGTGAGGAAAATTCGACGCGATATGACGTACTTTTGAGATAATTCGCAAACTGGCAAGTACTCCTGCGGAAGAAATTTCGCATCCGTGACCATGACGTGATCAATTGCTATGTGTGTGCGTGCGTATCGTTAAAATATATAACCGCCGTCTGTTCTTCGCTCTTCGACATTGCGTCGAGCAATTTTGCGATATTGAGTACGATCCGTAGCATTCCGCGTGCACAAATAAGTCTAGGTCAATTGAGAAGTAACTAATAGGATGATTTGCTTAACGTACACATTGAGCGCCGTCGCGACGCAATGAAATTTAGTCGATCGCAAATATCGACGATGATAACTCAAGGTTCGGTGCAGACGGAACGCCAACTGGATCCAAGACAGTTGTTAATTCCACAAAATATCCATACGTTGTCGGCGCGAAATTCTGAATTTTTCTCCGTTCCGACGATTCATCCGACGATCCGTTTCAAACGTTAGAGAACGAAACTCTCTCTGTTAAAAATAATAAAGAAAAAAGAAAATGAAATACCACAAAAGCATAAAACGAGTCAAGGGCGACGTATTTTCCTCCCGATGCTTCGCAAAGTGTCCGCGCAGGTGTGAAACAGACCTGAACGAGGATCTCGAAACTCGTTGAACTTCGATAAAATGATTGTGTATCAAACCGACACCGCCGAACTGATTGCGGACTTAGCAGCTAGCTAGACTACGAACGATACCTCGATTATGCAGGATCAGCTGCTCCAGATGGACCACTAGGAGAAGGACAATGAAAGACTCACTAAGACCGACATATCGCGCCATCGTCCCCTCATCGATTTTCATCGATTGTCGTAATCACGAGCGTTCAACACCGCGGTTTCGTATCTCCCTACGTCGCGAGATCCGAATTCGACCCTTCTTTTTCTCTCTTTTCTCTCTCTCTCTCTCTCTCTCTTCTCTCTCTCTCTCTCTCCCTTTTCCTTTCTCCACGGAGATTTCACACGGATGCGCTTTGGATGAGCGCTCAGTTTGCATTGAAGCATTTGGTCTGCTAGCACTTCAGTTTTGTCATCACCTCCTTTGTATAACTCCCTCCCAGGTCCGGGCCGCTCCTTCTCTTCATCTCATCCACGCGCTCCCACCCTCTTCTACATATAACACGCAGTTGCTTATAGTAAAACGAGCCTGCCGTATTTCCCTGTACATTTCATAATTTGTCTACATCTCATTTATAAACACGCGGAAGTATTCCCTCTCGCGCTTTCTTTCACTTGATCTTTAATACGTCTCTTATAGTCTCTCACATATATGTATATATTTTCGACTTTTTTTCTCATAAAGATCATCATGTATTTTTCATTCGCATCGTCCATATAAAAAAATATGTATGAACATGAAATTAAAAATATATTTTTGAAGCAGGAACACGCTTTTTTTATTATACGTCATTCAGCATTGTATCGTTGATATTTTGTTAATATAGTAAAATACAATGCGCTCTTCATTCGCTCCATCAATACAATGAATGAAATATCTCCTCTATATGAGCATAAAATTAAAAATATAGCTCGATGACACAAAGTAGAGACATGTTTTTCATTTTCCACATCATTCTACGTCATATAATTTATATTTCGTTGATATAATCGAACAGAAAGAAACACGTACAATGCGTAACATCTTCATTATTTGTCCTTTATTAATCTTCAGTGTCGCGCATCATTTACGTAATAGACCTGATTCCGAAATCTCTTTCTACAATTGTAAGTGTTTATATTAAATCTTTTCTTTTCTTTTTTTCATAAATATTCGTTTCGCGTGCAGACGCAAGCTCACGACCGCGAGCTCACAAAGCAACCTCCCTACTTCCTTTGGACCGACGTCGTCGTCTTCGTGGCCTCTTCCGTAGCTTCTGCTCCCCGCATTCGCCGCGGCACAAAAAACGATCAGTTTTTTGTCCAGGTTTCTTCAACAGTGGCCTCCTTGTCGCGCGAATTTTCGTGCCACCCACCAGGCGCACGTTGCCTCCGAAATTCAAGCGCTCATTAATAATTGTAAGATTGTAAGATCCTCGATTGAAGGAAGGTGAACCGACCGGCGGGAGGATCGATAGAGTCCAAATGAAAAAACAACGGTAAACGGTAAAACAACAATATTTATAATCTACAAAAGTCGCCACTCTGAGATCGCTCGAGTCGCGAGAGGTGCGAGCGAAAGCCAACGTGATATTCCCACTCGAGTTATTATCAAGTTATAAACGCAAAATCGAATTTCATTATCAAAAACCGGCGGAACAAGAGCAAACGCTCCTGCCCCGAACGTTTCGCCCTCAAACTCGACGCACGACTACAAATTCGAAGTATTTTCTTTCGCTACGAGACCAACGCTCGTTCCTATTTATCAATTCTTTGATAACGGTGATTGTCACAAGATGCGATTGTGATTTAACGAGAGAGCTGTATCGCATGTTTATTAACAATCTCATTACGCGGAAACAGGAGTTGTCGTGTCGTGAAATAACGGCAGCGGCGACGATCGCGACTCGATCCAATTTCGACTCCCAGTCCATGCTGCTTGCTCGAGATCCATCCACTCATCCACCCAGCGGTCCACTCTCATCATAAACTTCTCAAGGTTCGTTCGTTATTGATGCTGACCGTGACACGCGCAACACCGATCGTGTAACACCCCGCGCGCGGCGGCGTAACACAGTGACGCGCATTGTAAAAAAATCCCCGGCCTGTGTTTCGCCAGCAGAAGCTGCCACACGCAATCGTCGTCCTCGAGGTTCGCCGGCGCGTCTTCGAACCTGAAGTGGTGGTGGTGGTGGTGGTGGTAGTGATGAGTTGTTTTTGCCGCTGCGACGACGACGATGACAACGACGATGACGGCGGCGGCAGCATGTGCTGCTCGGCCGACGAATGAGGACGCCACGACGATTATGAGTGTCATCGCGTGAAAAAAGGGAGAATTTGACAATTTACGACGGAAGAGGGAAGAAGAAGTAGAGAAAAAAAGGAAAGGCCCCGGCCCCTTAAGTGAGGGGCTCGCAAGGGGCCGAATTTATTTGTTCGAAGCTTCGCTTCCTGTTCCGCGTGGCGTCCGGGTGACAATCTTACGGATCAGCGGCTCCCACGAGAATCACCGAGCGATCATCGGCGATGCTTCTGCGACCTGCGACGACAGCCACGATGAAGCTTTACCAAGATTTAATTTTAAAAAATTGAGCTCGCGGAGCGTTCGAAATTACGCGTGACCTTCACCTCTGTCGGTCGAATTCGATTTTCCCTTCAGTTCCTCCTCTCCCCCCTCTCCCATCGCACTTTCCCGGGGGGAATTTTCCGCTATTTGTAGCACAGGTCGATAATTGTTCTCGCTTCTCGACTCGTCTCTCGCTCTCTAATCTCTAATACTGTCTACAACTAATGGACAATATAAAGAACGCAGCTTGTATCTCAAACTGGCAACTTTATTCAATCGGTTTTCTGTTCGTTTCTGCTCGCCGCACGAATACGTAGCCTGACGCGAAGGAGGTTTACACTTAGCATTTATCGCTCTCGCGCTTTATAAATCCGTTTTTTGCGACGAAAAAGCGGTTTTCACACGAGACCGACTCGGTGACTCGTTAAAGGTAGATGGAAACCCTCGCGCGTGGAAGGACGCGCGATGGAAAATCTCTAATTCACCGCTCCTCCTACAGGTGACTAAGCCTGCCTTGAAAAGAGGCAACGAATCGAGTAATCAGTAGGTATCAGTGAATATATACATAAACACAGAAGTCTAATGGTAAAATACGAATCTTATTGGTCTCATTACTTCTATAATTTTGACAATATTTCCTTTCTCATACATGTTAGCGGTAACACGTACTAATCTAATAAATACTGACAGAATGGTATCCGAATAAAAGAAAATAAAAAAAAAAGAAAAAAGACAAGAGTGAGATAGAGGAAGAGAGAACAGGACAAGGTGTGTTCGATTTTAAAAAATATCGCTGTTGTACTTTGTTGTAAAGTTAGACAATTACTTATCAAATCGACCAGGATTATTACTCTCTACTCGAGGATTACTTGATCTTTTTCCTACCTAGCTTCGTGGAATACTAGGTAACAATGAGATTCGGTTCATTGATGCAAGTGTGCAATCAAGAATTTGTATCGATTATACACGTTCCCTTGTTATCGCGATGGTAGGAGCACCGTTCCTCCGTTCTGCCATGCATTGGCGCCACACCTTCGGTACACGATAATCTCATAAAGTCAAATCACCATTACAACTACGTAATGTATCAAATGTGAGAAATGTTCACGAAACACTTATTCCACGTGACAATGAGTAGATTGCGGCGATGATACAAAGTGTGGAAGAACATGAACGAGGTGAGGCAAGATTAGAGAGTGGCTTTTTGAGCGTGACAAAGTCCAAATGAGCGTCATTAATAATAAAGTACTTTAATGAGGACGAACTTGCCAGACGATTGTGTATTGTCATCTCACTAGGAATTAGTGAAGGATACAATACAATAATAGGGCATACGAGATTGCACGCGTTGCGATCTCTCATGCAAAATCGTGTCGATGAGTATTTGAGCATAAAACTGTGCGCTACAATATATTACTACATTGCTTGACTGAGAGGTCGTTAGTTTTCTCAAACGTTACATTGAATATATAGAATCACATACCAATAAAAAAAACAAACACGTAATTAATTGCATTACCAAATATAAGATTATTCTCTCGACACTTACGCAATATTTTTATATCGTAATCTTCAGTATCCGTTTCTAATGTATAATTGTAATAATCCGCCATACCCAGACTGATTTATAAATCAATTACCAATCATCGCGATTGACATCTTGCTAGATTTTGACAATCGCACATTTTCCGCGAGCAGTAACATATCGTACTTTGTTTCCGTAACATATACTTATATTTATATAGTATCAGTAATTACATTATACAATTGATATCATAAAATGTGAAAATAGCAGTAATCACATCTTTCCAATCATTGAAACGCGGAGATCTCATGCTGCGATCGGCAATATATGTTAATAATTACCGAGATTTATACTAAGAGTGCATTGCCATATTTCTACTTTGCAAGTAACTTATATGTGACACATTGTTCGCGTATAATATAAATCGAGTGGATCTTGACAGAGAATTAAAGAGAATCCTTGATCCATTATTTTTTATTTTATTTCAAAGTCAGTATAACCGTGTAAAAATCTGTGTACTTGGTGTGCGGAAGTAAAGTAAAAATTGTCACTCTCCAAAATTCTACTCAACACCTCGTTCTGGAAGTCATATCTAACGAATAAATTTCCACGAGAAAGCAAGTAAATATAGAATTTATCCCACCTGGTACCTCGTTTCGTATTATATATCTTAACTTATCGGTAAAATCTGCAATATTAAGAACCAGGCAGACATCTTCTGTCGCATATTTTATTAAGAGAACGACTAGGCCATATGAATATAACTGAGGAGTTTGTGTTATGTTCTGATACAATTTTCGTGCGAGAGTGGAACCTATCTAATTTAATCCAGACCCTTTCCTTTCAAACCACTTTCAATATATCTTAACAAATGTTGCATTTTTATACATATGTAGGTTCTCAATCGAAAGAGTCTAGATCCTCTAAATTCTGCTCTTCTATTTTCATATATTCAAAAAGTGTATCCTGAGATTTATTCATATGGCATAATATTTTTTTCAGTCCAGTAGACTTCCTCTGCTCTTGATTGATTGATTCGGTGTACATTTCATTCATTCTTTCACAGTGAAATGTCATTGAAATTATCAGGAATCAGACGTCGACTCTATTCGGGTTCTTCTCCATCTGCAATTGTTAATTGCTTGCATATATGCGTCATACTATGAAATACATGAATATTATTTAATAATGCACAAGCCTTTCCCAAGTCATTTACTATCGCCTACCTTCGCGCTCCACTTCATCATCTACCAGAAGATCATCCTCTTCATTTACACCATCATCCTCATCATTCACAGCCTCCTCTTCCTCTTCATCATCCTCATCGACGTCATCCTCGACTACCACTATACTGTCATCTCCTTCTTCTCCTTCTCCTCCCTCTCCGCCTTCGTCACCATCATCTGCGCCATCCTCTTCTTCCTCTTCCTCTTCACTTTCACATTCCTCGCCATCGCCTTCTATGCCGTTTTCGACATCTATATCTGGTGCGAGATAATACTACAACATACATAAAATATCAAACATGAATAAGATTATTCAGATTATTTATTTACTTGTGTATCAAGGTATACCTTTAGACACAATAATATTACCTGAAGTGGATTAGGCCACATGTCATCCTTAATTAATTCAGCTATCTCGTCCGAGCTTGGATCTCCGTGATCCGTAAACCAATCAAAAAATGATCTGTGCTTGAGTGGCCTCTTGCGTCCTTTCAACGGTGCTTTGGTCTTTGCTTTCTTCGTTAAGTCTGCACCTTCTTTCCAACAGATTGGTGTACTTTGAGATGCTGGATCTCCTGCAAAACAGCAGGAGATTCATCGAAACTATGACACTCGACTAAAGTATAACACATTAAGCATTTCCCATTTATATATTATTCAATTAATGTGATTTTCTATCATTAATTTAACAGCGATAAACTGACAAGCTGACGTGCTCACCAGAAGACCCTAAGTGAAACTCCTTGGTTAAAACCTCATTCTCAAAGTATGGATTTTTGTCAAAGTGAAAATTGATCCTATAGCCGGATTTGATGTCTTCGAACTCCTCAACTTCCAATTTGTTCAGGTATCTCAGAGCATCTTCTTCGTCCTCCTCCAATATTTCTGCTATTTCTTTGTTGTTTACAAACTAAGTTTTTAATAAGGAATAATATGCTACGACAAGAAAATCAAATTTTACACGACACGACACAGTCTCGTCGTGCGGGACAGGTGAACATTCACCCTGCTCCGAGCATCAAAAGCATCGACAATGCATATTGTCTCATCCATGCGGCCAGAGCATTATTTGTTTATACGCGAACTACTGAAAGAGCCGCAGCGTGACACACGGTCGCGCGCCTCCATATCGGTCGGTGGCGCGTCGTGATCTAACGAGGGCGCAGAATTAATTGGCGATCGAGACGAAAACGCATTTGAAAGACGCGTAATATCATGCATGGTTATACATGCTTATGCACGTATACAAGTAGGCAAGATGGCGACGGTCGCCGGCGGACGCCGGCATCGGCGAGAAACGTCAAAACGGCGCGGCCGCGCTGCGTCTCGCGTCGGCCTGACTAACGGGCGGCCGGGGTATCTCGCGTCTGACGAAAGGATACAGCGGTGACCCAAAAGTTAGGTATCCTCTTGATGATGTCGTTGCGCTTCTGGAAGTAGGGCTTGCGCAGCTTGTTATACTTCTTCTCGACCTCGAGAATCTCGTCGCTGGCCTTCTCGTTGAGCCCATCGATTTGATTCTGACAGCCGTCGATCTCCTCCAGGGTTTTCTGTATCTCGATGTTCCGTATGTACTCCTGCGCGTCCCCCTCGCCCGAGCCCGGGTCCTCTAGCTCTTTGGCCTTCTTGTTCGGCGACGACATCTCGTTGAACGCGCGCTCTTGCCACCACTACACACCGCACTCTGTTTATTTCCCGTACGGCGCTCGCTCTCGTCACGCTGTGTGTGGTGATGCTGAATTGGCGGCGCGCAAGCGGCTGTGGCCACGAACAGCGAGCTAAGACCTTGAGGCGGCTGCCGCGCGCGGAAAACAGCCCGGAAGACCCGGTGCACGTCGTGCTGGTACATCCGGAAACGGCCCGGGCGAAACGGCTCCGATTGGCCGACGCGGCGGAGCGGCGATGCGGCGTTGCTGCGCGTGAACGCCGAGCGGATTCGCGGCGGCGACGCACAACGCCGTTGCAAAATTTGTTTTCTTATAAATAAAAGAATTGATGTTCTTGTAAATAAAAGCGAATATAATATTTACGCGCGCGCGTACTCCTCTTTCGCGAAAGTAGAGTAGAAAGATATATATCTTTGATATATCTGAATGAAATCAACTCCTTTTTTTATTTTGGTCCTTATTCCGCGAGGAACATCTCGGCAGAGGGAGAGGACTGTGATGATTTATTACCGCGACCTGGGTGTATCCGAGTAACGTCAGTCATTGTACCGACGGACACATTACAGCGGTAGACCGTAAAAATACCGTTGCAGCAGCAGGTTGAACGTCCCCAGCTCGATGACAGTGCACGCGCGCACACCCGCGACGTGATGGCATCTTAACGAATCGTAACCCGATTCTTATCGTGGTTCCGTTCGCCGCCGCTGGCCGGGGGCGACATCATCAACGATCATCGTCAACACGACGACAGTTTCGAGTGGCGGTCGTCCGTAATTATCGCGCGTATATGCGTACGTCAGAAGAGCGAAGGTGCACGCGGTCATTGCGAGGTGGTCGATGCTGAGTTGGCAGTCTTGACGACGACTACGAGATCTTTCTCTCTCGTTAGCTGTTGTCGATTTGTATGCGCGTACAGCAGGTTCGCGAAAATCGCAGCGCGCGCGAGCCCGCCGGATAATGTTACGAATGAACGTACTTAAACGGTTTACTTAAGTCAGAAAAGGAATACGCAGCAATACTTAAATAAGCCATGAGCGGACAGAAGTTTCAGTATGACGAGAGCGGAGGGACGTTCTTTTATTTCCTGCTGTCATTCTTGGCGTTGTTGCTGATACCCGGGACCTATTACCTTTGGCCGCGCCAGCCGAAGCAAGGTTAGACGTTTTTCTCGATGTCTCCAAGTGTTCACTTATCAGCAACTGAGTTTTAGGAATTCTTACTGCTCCCTTCTTTGCGTGTGACATTTCATTAGTGTTTGGGTCTCACAAGCAATGATGTGGAGTCTGTTAACAAGATGACAAAGATGTAGACTACAAGAGCAATTAGATATAAGTAGAAATGTTCATAATTTTTGTATTTTACCCAGATCCCGATCAGTTAGCCAAAGAATGCCAGTGTAATGGATGTAAAAAGAAGAAACTTCTTCTTCAGTCGAACAAGCCATGGAAAGAAACCAGAGCTTTATTTGTGTACGTTTATGTGTCACCTGTTCTAAATTTCTACATAAGTTATATGATTTATTTTTATATAAATTTTATATAAAATTTTATATATTTATATTGTATAATAATGAGTTCTATTTATACCATAGTATTGGTTGTTCTTTCTCATATAATTAACACACTGTTTCTATTGCAGAAAATTTCTAATTATTTTGGGATGGGTTATATTGATACTCTTGGCATACAAAGTCTCACAGTTCGATTATGAAATGGCCAACTTTGATCCGTATGAAATACTAAATGTACCACCTGTAAGTATACAAGATAAATCTTTTTACACGTAATAAAACATATATATGATATAACAAATAGGACTTTATTGTAGGGTTCTTCACAAGGTGAAATTAAGAAAGCTTACCGCAAGCTTTCATTAATTCTTCATCCTGATAAAGAAACTGGAGATGAGAAAGCATTTATGAAATTAACTAAAGGTAATAAATAAATATATGTGTGTGTGTGTATGTGTGTGTGTGTGTGTGTGTGTGTGTGTGTGTGTGTGTGTGTGTGTGTGTGTGTGTGTGTGTGTGTGTGTGTAAGGAGAATTATATATATATATATATCAACAGAGTATAGTATAAATATTAAACATACTTTTGCAATATATTTAATAAATTTACACAACTTTTTACACAACTGATGATACAATATAAAAAATTAAAAATCATTTTGAATAACTATACTTGAGATTAATTTTATAACAATGAAAATTTAAATATTTGACATTTCATGAAGTTATTATGTTAGAGCTAAGTTAGCATTATTAATATTTTGAATTTTATTATATGCTGAATCTGTTTCTATTAACAAAATTAGCTTACCAAGCTTTAACGGATGATGAAGCACGGAAGAATTGGGAAAAATATGGAAATCCTGATGGCCCAGGAGCAATGAGTTTTGGTATAGCTTTACCTTCTTGGATCGTTGAAAAAAAGAATTCGTTATGGGTTTTAGGATTGTATGGATTAGTGTTCATGGTTGCTTTACCGACAGTTGTTGGAATGTGGTGGTACAAAAGTATTCGCTACACTGGTGATCAAGTAATTTGCATTTCTATATTAAAGAACTTTCACAAATAACTTATTACAGTAATAGTTTTTGTTTTGAACAAAATTATTAGTCACACATTATAGTTATAAATAAGTTCAATAATTATACATATATAATCAGATACTATACATATCATTATATACACAAAATTAGTAGTTAACTACATATATATTTTTTCAAGAGAATTAATACAATTATATGTACAATTGTTGGTAATTATTTTCAGATTCTTCTAACAACTACTGAAATATATTACGTTTTCTTTATGAAAAGGCCATCGATGACATTAAAGAGAGTCATTATGATTCTTGCTGCTTCCTTTGAATTCTTCAAGAAACTCAATGCAGAAGTGGTCGAAAGAGAGACCGATAATGAAGAAATTCTTTCGGTAAATTGGATTATTTTATTTCTCGATTTTTCTGTTCTTTAGACGATAATATTAAAATATTTTATATGTGTATACATTTCTATTTTCGTATTGCAGCTCATCAAACAGTTACCTAACTTAGGAGAAAAAAATAAAGAAATACCATTATGCAATATGTATTCAATTAAAGCTAGAGCCTTATTACATGCGCACTTATCACGTATACCACTCAATCCTGAGACATTAGATAAAGACAGGCAATACATTGTAAAAAAATGCCCATATTTAATCCAAGAAATGATCAGATGTATCCATCAAGTCATATTTGTAGCTTATGCTAAAAAAAGTAAGTGTTTGATAATTTCTTTTTTTCAATAGAATGTATAACGTCGTAGTACAATGTAGATAGAAATCATCATAGAAATTGTTTTATAGTGCCACAGGTGCCGACCATAACAACTATAGAAAATTGCATGAAATTGTGTCCAATGATTGTCCAAGGATTTTGGGAATTTAAAAATCCCCTCTTACAATTGCCACACATAACTGAAGATAACCTGAAATACTTCCTCGCAAAGAAGGTATTAATGAAGCTGCAGTAAATTTTCTATTTCCATTAATATTTTTATCCTTATTGATGAAAATAACTAAAAATGTCAATACCTAAAAAAGCGGCATTTCCTTAGCGTCAAATCAAAAGTCTTCAGCAATTCGCACAACTGAAAGGAGAAGAACGAAGACTGATACTTAGAAGTATGTCGGACAGCCAATACGAGGACGTTATGAAAGTACTCGGAAATATGCCGTATATAGATTTCAAAGTACGATCTGAAGGTAATTCATTGGTTTATCAGTTATTTGTGACGTAAATAATACACACACACACACACACACATATATATATATATAGTGTATACATTTTTATAAAATACATATCAAAATTTCTTTATATAATTTATATAATTTTATTTGTTTTTATATACGTTTACTATATATACTTTATATAATTTTATTTGTTTTTATATACGTACATAAACTTCATGTTTTCACTTATGCAATATATCAACAATAATTATTTTAGTAATCGACGATGAAAATCCTACTGTCTATACTGCTGGTGCTATTGTAACTGTAACTGTATCATTAACGCGAAAAGATATGAGGCATCTTTTTGGAGATGATTCCGTCAACGAACAAACGATGATCGATGACAAAGTAGATGGAGAAGTGATTGACGAGATGGAGGAGCAAAATCAATCTACGAAAACTGCGAAGCCAACGTTGCTCAAAAAAAAGAAAGGTCAAAAGAAATCTTACAAAAAGAGTGTTAACAAGAAGGCAGCTCCAACTAAAAATATACAAACACCACCCCAGACTGTGGCCAACAATACTCAACATACGGGTAATGCTTTCAATGCAAAAAAGAAGGACGATAAGTCAGAGGAAGAGTCTTCCAAAGAGAAGTTGTCCGATGTTAGTGATAGTGAAGTGGAGAGTGACAAGAACGAAGATAGTCACGACAAAAAGGATGTATCTCTCGAGGACGATGATACAGAATGGGAAAAGTAAGAGGGCAGATATTTCTCTACTATCTATTCCTCACTTGTATACGACTGTTTGACGTAACCTTTTTTTTTTTCTTTGGACAGGTTCCAACAGAAAATTACCAAGCGGGAAAGAGTGTTGGAAGGAAAGAGTAATATGTCACACGAAGTGCACTGTCCGCTCTTTCCCGACGTTAAGCAAGAATACTGGTGGGTCTATATCTGTGATCGAAAAAGTCAAACGTTGTTGACAACTTCTATACACATCACATCTTTAGTCCAATTCGAAGAGGTTCAGTTAAAATTTACAGCGCCGCGTTGGCCGGGTCTTTATACATTTACCGTATGTTTACGTAGTGACTCATATCTTGGCTTCGACCAAGCTCGAGATATCAAGGTGAGTTAAAGTCCACAGATGCTCTTATCTTTCGTGTAAATTTATCTCAACCTCGAAAGAAGGATGGGTAAATATTCTTTTCGCGTTATACGTTTATGCAATGTAACGTGGTAATATACGTGGTCCTGTTTTATAGCTGGACGTGAAGGAAGCACCGGAAATACCAACAGAACATCCGCAGTGGGACATCTCGGATGAGGAAACTGCGGAGGATGTAGATGCAGCCGATGAACATTCCGAGTTCACAACTGATGAAGACATTAGTGACAATGAATAATATCTGTTTCTCACATGTGATCGGATAGATGTCCTAAAAGACCGCATTTCCCTCTTTTTTTACTTCTCAAATTAATAATGTACAATGGATTTTTATACATGGAATTGTATAATCGTTGATGTACGTGGACAATCTAGACAAATAGTCCGGTGTGTAAGATTTTTCAGTGTGGAGAAAGTATAGCGAATAAAGAACATAATATTTATTTTAACATCGTTGTTCGCGATCCTCGATTTAGGATGTGTATACAGTTTTCTAATAAAATATTATCTTATTGTATAAAATACAGATTTCTATATTTTATGTATCACATTAGAATTATTAATAGAATTAACAGAATGTTCCCTCTTCTCAGGTATGACAGATAAAATTTTATGTATAATAAAATCGAGGTCGTAAGTGAAAGTATAGTAAAAAAATGTATTGTCACGCTATAAGATTCACTCGATCGTTTCACTTACTACTCACTCTACAACTTACTTAAAAAGAGTTCACTGATCCATTGTAGACAGTTTAACAGGGCATCGACAGCCGGTTGGATGTCAGATATACGTTTTACCCTTCCTGTATTTAAAAAAATTTTTTTTGCTTTTATTTATCGTCCATTTCAAAAATACGTGCTTACGTTATCTTTATTGAAAATCCACTCTAATTCAGCTGAAAAGAATAAATCTAGTGAGAACAATGAAGATAATATTTCATGCAAGACAAGTAAGTACATCATATTTCGAGTGTAATATTAAGCATTTATTATATGAAGTTTTATACGATTATTTCAGATGTTCAAAAGCTATTTTATTTTATATCTTCTTCTAAATGTCATAATTGTGGTTACACTTGTGGAAGGTAAGTTGTTATGGAAGAAATTACTGGATTGAAAAATAAAAGTTAAACATGATAATTAAAAATTACATGCGGAAATTCTGATGTACAAAAATATTTCTGATAATTATATTTAATCATTTATAATACAAAAATTAATATCAAAGTATATATATATATATATAAGCATTGTTTTTTTAATTGTAAATAAAATACTTTGTGATTAGTATGTATATATATTGTGCAAAATATAAATAAATATATTTCTTAACAGGTGTGAACAACCAACGCCAAGTAATCAAATCGGAACAACTGTTAAACAGGCCTGTTTATACATTTGTTAAGACTGACAAACATGCCAACATTAAATGGGGCGTACGTCATTATGTTCCACGTGTTTATTGACCAAACAAGTAATACCAATGTTTCTCAAACAAAGATTCCATATTTATCATTCTCAAAGTTCTTTAGATCTTTATCTCCTAAAGCACAGATATTTCTGAATGAGATGAATGTTATTTATATATGTATATGTATGCTATATCTGCGATAATGGATCGAAACTAAGTACTTCCAGACATTTTCTCTGCATTTCAGCCATTAAATTATCCATCCTAAAAAAAAAATTATTTGAAACAATTTGTCTTAAAACTAAATTTTATTATTACAACGCGATAAAATAAACTTACGTATGAAGTATGACCAAATTATCGTATATCACGTCATCCTCTGATTGAATGGCACTATTTAATTCGGTGGTAGAAATATTTAAAAATTGATGACTATTAGATTGTTGCGGATCAATTTCGGTATCCAATTGTGCAATCTTCTGATATTCTTTCCAGTATAATTTTGTCATAACAGTAACTGAATTAAATATCTTCTCCAATTTCAATAACTCATCGTGCAAATTATGTATTTGCCTATTAAAAATGAATGTATATAATGTCACAAGGAGATCCTTGTTAAAATTCAATTCTCTCATCACGCACAATATATAAATTATTAATAAAACTTTTGATACCTTGTAATATCATGTGTATTTTTATTATGTTGTATTTCATATATGTTCAGAAATTCAAACACCAATTTTACCATATCCAATGGTTTTGCCTTCTTATGGGGGCTTCCCTGTTTAAATTTTACATATACGTCACAAATATCACTAAACCTATTAGACCAAGATATAGAAATATTAAAATAGTAACATTTTTTACAATATTATTCTGTAATTCATGGTATTATTCACTTACAATTTTGACAAATCTTTCATGTAGTCAATACTTGTAATTGTATCTCTAAATCTATTGTTATTTTCCTTCAAAGATACAAACTTTATTTTTATTTGATCAGCTGCATTGACCAACTTGTCAACTTTGTCAAAATAAGTCTGTAAAACCTTTTTTTTATCAGACGCGTCCGCAGCCGTTGAGTCCGCATACTTTAGACGAATTGCATGTACTTGATTCATAAGAATTGTTGTACTTTCCAATGTCTTTTCCATGTTTGTATTAAATTTATCGATTTTCTGGTGTAGCAAATCTCTGAAATATAACGTTATATATCATTAAATATATAATGGGTTATATAATTAACAATTAATATTACATAGAAAACTTACACATTTATACTAAAGGCAAAAACATACAACTGAAATAAATTTACTTGTTTTTTAATAAAATATATCGTATGACGATAATAATTTTGCAATACTTCAAAAGACAATTCAACTTTTGATTGAATCATCATTTTCTCCACTACTGTAGGAATCCTTGGTGTAGGTATATTTTTAATTGAGTAACATTCATTTCTAAAGACAAATAAAATGTGATCCTACAACAAGATTATAATAAATTTAGAAACATTTTATATTAAGTTTACATCAATCATACAAATTGGTTATACATACATTAGTTTTTGAGACAAGTAATGCAGTATTTTCATTCAGTAGCACACCACTGTAATCAGTTAATATTTGATGTTCGACTTTGATATTAGTATCTCTTTCTATTAATAACTGAATATCTTCTACAGTAGTGTTACCATCGATTTCATAAGTGTCGATTTTATAAAGTGGAACACAAAAAACATATAATACCTACATATACAAGATATAAATTAAGTAATAAAAATATACGAATATGAAATATATATAGTATTTATTTATGCATATGTGTATATACCTTTTTTGATAATATTTGTTGTAACATTTTGAATACCATCAAACAAAGTGTACCAGATTCATCAATCATTTTGCCTCTTTTGCGTGGTTCCCATTTTAAAACCAATCGAAACCAATTGACCATTTTATGTCGAAGACGACTGATAGGAAAAAGATATTACAATATTAGATACAAATGAAATAATTTCCTTCTGTAAAACAAGATATGTGAAAACTTATTTACTGTTAGATACATGGAAAGTATCTATAAAAACTATATAAATATATACATTTTTACCTCGATAAATGAGTTGGATCTTGAATATCCTGTCCAAAAATAATTATTCCTTCTGTTTCATAAGCATGAATATCTTCATTACACTTATTTTTAATATATTTCATCCTATAAAATCAAATTGAAATAACAATTTGAAGATTATGTCACTTTTTTCTATAAGCACCACATAATTATGTCGATTACTTACCATTCCATAGTATGTTGCATTGTCGGTAGAAATGGCCTCATTCCAGTTACAAGTTCATAATACAATATTCCTAAACTCCAATAATCAGCTGAACAGCTATATTTTTCCTGCCACAAAAGTTCTGGAGCAACATAATTCAATGTACCAACTAAAGATGCAGATGTGCTAGCTTCTCCAAGCTCTTTAGCATATCCAAGATCTATTAGTTTGTATGATAGCTAAAATTTAATTCATGTAAGAAAAACAATACAATACAATATATATATATATATATATATATATATATATGTACATGCACATACACACAACAATATAGCTTATTTAAAGTTTTATGTAATATATATATATATATATATATATACATATTAACTTACTATATTATTCTCATCTTGGAGTACAATGTTCTCTGGCTTTAAATCACGATGAGTAATATTATGAGAATGTAAATATTCTACAGCTGATGAAATCTCAGACATCACTTTGATAGCCTCTATTTCTTCAATTCCACAACAATTTTCTGGTTGATTTAAAATCTGCAGTGGAAGTTATAATTATTTCATTGTAGAGGTATAAAGTAAACAAAATAATCTCTATAGAATAAATTAAATTAAATATAACTTTTCGTAAATCTCCTTTTCTACAGTATTCCATACAGAGAACTGGTAGACTATTTTCCACATTTGGGAACTTGAATGGTAAGTATCCAGTTTTAACAATATTTGGATGCTTCAGACGTCCCATTATATCAACTTCAATAGCCCATCTTTTTTGTTGTACTGGTGTTAACTGTGTGTAACTTGATTTGCATTTCTTTATTGCTAAAATTGATAACTTTTTTGTGTTAAATATAAATTTCATTATTATATAGTACATAAGTTAGAATATGAAATTCTATAGGAAAATCTTTAGAAACAGAAGTTACATGCTTACATTTATATTCTAACTTACCAAGTTTTTTGTTACTTTGAGCGTGTATCCAAAGTTCGACAATTCCAAAGCCCCCAACGCCAAGAATTTTGCTTAATTTCCAGTTATTACTTGACTGATCTGAACTGGACGTCATTTTAAATTCATAAAATAACTTTCAATTTATACACGCACCTCGAACTTAAATCATGCTTAATAGATGTGACTTCACTGAATGCTGATAAGAAAATGTTTTTTCACATTTTTGTTATAATGTTCAAAACATTATATCTCCTCGTCGTTAATTGACATTAGATAGAAAACCTTGGCGGTTAAGCCGATAAGATAGATAAATCAGTTTTTATTCTTAGGCGAAATGGTGAGATAAACTCATAGATATTTTTATTTGTCATGAAATATGTGTTTCGCAAATTTAAACTATATCTACTTTTCCTTAATTATGAATAGAATATACTACTATAAATTCACGTTATTGTCATAATGCTAAGAATTAGTCATCAGCCTGTGTTTACAAAATTCATTGGCCGTGTTCAGTAGAACAAAGTGATCAGAGAGCGCTTAGTGATTATTGTCTGTGATTGGAGCATTCTTTTAGATTCTTTATAGACCCAGAAGTATTTACCAATCAGGAGCGAGATTCAGTGGGAAATCTAGTAATGTTGTCCAACTGTTGAGTCTGCTGAACGCGGCCATTGGTTGCGTTCAGGAAACAAAACGCTCACTGAGCGCTCAGTAACTATTAATCCTTACTGTTAGATCCTTACATTCAGACCAATAACGTTGACGAATTAATCAACCGTTGTGTAACCGTTGTGTTTTCTGAACGCAGCCATTGAAAATATGTTTGATTCAAGCTTTAATTTTGGCTGCGTTCCGAAATTCACTGCCAGTACTGAAAATACATAGTTTGTGTTACGTATACTATAGAATTTCAGTGCTGGCAGTGAATATCGGAACGCAGCCTACGAAGTGACAACAGTGGCCGCATTCAGCAGACTCAACAGTTGGACAACATTACTAGATTTCCCACTGAATCTCGCTCCTGATTGGTAAATATTTCTGGGTCTGTGAAGAATCTAAAAGAATGCTCCAATCACAGACAATAATCACTAAGTGTTCTCTGATCACTTTGTTCTGCTGAACGCGGTTAGTGGTAACTCGTAGCGAGCTGTATTGGAACCAATTGGAACTATAGGAACTAGTTCAGGGTATCTATTATGGAACTCGTCGGAATCGATTCCGATCGAATTTATTCCGTTATTTCCTAGATTTCTATTTGGTCTGTTCTTTGTAGCTGCACTGTTGAACTGGTGCAATAAGTTAAAGTGAGACAAATATAGGTTTTTTCATTCTGGCTTATTGCATCAGTTCAGCAGTGCAGCTACAAAGAACAGACCAATTGTCTTTTCTAGGGGAAACGGAATTAAGCCAGCAGCATACGGTGCTTCTTTTCGTGCTGGATTGCTTGCTGGATGAAAATACTGCGTTCTGATTGGTATATTTTCATCCATCTTCGGAAATGTACCAATCAGAAAGCAGTATTTTCATCCGGCAAGCAATCCAGCACGAAACAAGCACCGTGTGCCGCTGGCTTAAAAGAATGCTCCAATCACAGACAACAATTACTAAGCGCTCACTGATCACTTTGTTCTGCTGAACGCAGCCAATGGCTGCGTTCAGTAGACTCAACAGTTGGACAACATTACTAGATTTCTCACTGAATCTCGCTCCTGATTGGTAAATACTTCTGGGTCTATGAAGAATCTAAAAGAGTGCTCCAATCACTGACAATAATCACTAAGCGCTCTCTGATCACTTTGTTCTACTGAACGCGGCCAATATTCATGATTGGAGAATTCTTTTAAATCTTTAGCAGTACCAATCAGAGACGTTTGCTACGGAACGGAAGCGGAGCAGTTTTTTCCGCTGAACGCGACTAATGATTGGCCAAGTAAGAACCTAGATCTACTAGTAATTTATTTAGGATTGGTGTATACTTTTATATTTACCAATTATATTTATTCTAAAATAAATTCTACTATACTTTGTCCGTTGATTGCCCCTTGATATGTCTTTTGATTGCAGCTACTATGACTACGTTTACACGGCTTCTAACTTCGACTTAATAACTACCGTAGTTAGTTCAGTCACGAATCCGATTAGAGTATATTTTTAGATCTAAAAGAATATACCAATCGAATCAAAGAATTCACTAACTACGATTGTTACCAATCTGGATTAACCTTGTCGTGTAAACGTAGTCTATGTGCAAAAGCCGTTACTACACTTTGGCGTTGCCGCGTTCTGTCTGAAATATTTGAGTGTATATAGCAGTCATAATTGGCATGGCTGGGATCTTCAAGAGTGGAATAGCGCGGAGAAGTGATTGTTTGGTTGCTTTTATGGTGTGTATACTGCGACAGTGAAAAATATTTTTTTCGTATTCTAATACTTTTCACGAGTCTTTGTAAAGAGTGAGAGTTGCTGCATTTGGCATATTATGGACTTCTGTATATACTGTGAATTTTGAATATATTATTTCAATTTTTTTTATGTAAGTGTATCTTAGGATAATTATTTTATACATATTTTTGATAAATATAACTTATATAAGAAGTACATGCAGATCTATTTTTGTGTTATTACTTATGTGTTTTTTAGTTGTACAATGAAAGGTATTATATTCAAAACTATCGAAAGGACATGACAAACAAGTACTTTAATCGATAGAATGACATATTTTCTTAAATATGATGATAACTATATTTATGAATGAAATATTTGTTATATCTGTATATATAACTTTACATACAATAGCTTTTATTTTATATCAGTATATAATAATATATACAATAATATATACAATTATATACAAAATAATATATACAACTAAAATTACCATAAGAATAAAATATAACATTTATTTATATAAGCTATATAAAGGATTGTTAAGATTTATTTTCATAATGTATTAAAATTAGGAATTTATATTCCACATATATACTTTTTATACAAATCTAAACTTATATATAAAGAAATTAAGATTAATATATCAATAACAAATATGTTTAATATATTTATTCAAGTATATATTTATTACATAGAAGATATTTTTTTAGGTAGTGGGACCAACACATTTGTGTCAAAAAATATCAAACAGTTTACATCAGAGTGCAAAAGAAAAGAAATGGGATATATCTGTACATCAATGTGAATCTATTTCAGATGTTATAAAAGCAAAAATAGATATTTCTGTAGATTATATAATTTTTGCTTTTGATTCAAGGGTTTCGCATACCTTATCAGAGGTAAGAAATATTTTCATTTTATATAAATATATCTCATGTAACTTGTTACCAAAATAAGTTCTTAATTTTTTTATTTTTGTTTTAATTAATAATTATTTTAAGGTAGAGGCCAATATAACTGTAATAGATGAATATTATATAATCTCTGGTGTAACTTGCCTAGTAAATTCTAATGGAATATCTAATATTGGACTAGTCCACAAAGCAAAGGAACTTTGTCACAAGTATAACATTCGTTTTTTATCGGCAAAAATTTTTGTAAGTTTACATGTTAAAAAATCATGATAATTATTTTTAGATTATATTGTAGTCCACATATTTAAAAGTTAATTATTTTATTTTAGGATGTGAAAGCGTGTACTAACTTAGGAGATAGGATTTTGAATATAACTGAAAATCTATTAGGATTAAGTAGTGGTATACCAGTTATTGGAAGAATGATGCATAACTAAGGTAATTTAAGCTTCCGTAGTATAGAAAAGTGCTTGATTTGGTTTTCAAGTTGATGTCATTCAACATGGATTTGTCTTCAATATTTTAGAAATATTCAAGTTTACATAGATGAGAACCATGATGATGCAACATTGACCCAGAAATCAGACCAAGTATAACTAAGGTAACTAAATTGATTAGCAGAGAAATGTCTAATAAATTGTATATTTCTGAAAAGTTTCAGTTGTGAAAAACAAATATTAAAAAAATTATATGATTATCTAATAATTATATGATTATAATTATTTTAATTATATGATAATTATTACATAATCTTGACACAAAAGCAACAATTTGTATGTAATTTATGAATATTTTTGAGTCTCGCAATATTTATTTTTATGCAACAAAATAAAATGTTTTCTATGTAACAATATCATCAGAGTAAAAACATATTCATATATCAAAAGTAGCGTCAAAACAAAACAACATGAAGAAGACTAGCAGCAAATCTCAGGCATATGCCTCTAGCCAAGAGGACAGTGAGAACGATAGTGATCAGACTGAATGCAGCATCGGCAGCAATTCTACCGCTGGTACTCATCGCAGCGATACACCCACACGTAGCGCTCGTTATCGACGAAAGGGTCGTCGCAGGAGCAAAACAGCAAACAAGAGCAAGCCCTCTACGGATAAACCGTTATACAAGTACTGTTGCAACGTGAAAGAAGATCACGGGCAACCGTTGTTCGGGGTGCAATTTAATCATCACTTGAAAGAGGGTGAACCTTTGATATTCGCTTGCGTGGGCAGTAGTCGCGTGAGCATTTACGAGTGTCCAGAAGGTGGGAACATACGATTGCGACAGTGCTACGCCGATCCCGACGCGGAAGAGAACTTCTACACATGTGCATGGACGTACGACGATATGGGGAAGCCACTGCTGGCTGTGGCAGGTTCACGCGGTGTCATCCGTATCATCAGCCCTGTGACAATGACGTGCATCAAACATTACATCGGTCACGGGCATGCGATCAACGAGCTGAAAATTCATCCATGCGACCCGAATATATTACTATCTGCATCCAAAGATCATGCTCTCCGACTGTGGAACATCAAGACGGATGTCTGCATCGCGATTTTTGGTGGTGTGGAAGGCCACCGGGACGAGGTGTTGAGCGCCGATTTCGACATGCGAGGTATGCGAATTATCTCGTGTGGCATGGACCATGCTCTGAAGCTCTGGTCGTTGGATAAGGCAGATATGCAGGAGGCCATCAAGCAGTCGTATTATTGCAATCCCAGCCGCAACGGTAGGCCTTTCGACTCGATCCTCCAGCACTTCCCTGACTTTACTACGCGTGATGTTCATCGCAATTATGTCGACTGCGTCAAGTGGTACGGTGACTTCATCTTGAGCAAGTCCTGCGAAAATTGCATTGTCTGCTGGAAACCCGGCCGACTCGAGGACTCGCAGCTGCGTAATGGCGAGACCAGTGCGACGATGTTACATCGTTTCGAGTTTAAGGAATGCGACATTTGGTTCATACGCTTCTCCATGGACTTTTGGCAGCGAACAATAGCCATGGGAAATCAGGTCGGCCGTACTTATGTCTGGGACTTGGATGTTGACGAACCCGGGCAAGCGCGTTGCTGCTCTCTTCAACATCCTCGTTGCGCCGCGCCTATACGGCAGACCAGTTTGAGTCGAGACGGTTCTGTGTTGTTATGTGTCTGCGACGACGCAACTATTTGGAGGTGGAATCGCGATCACTAACTTTAGACACTCGAATTTTTAACAAGAAGCAAGTACAATCAACTGACAAATGTACGGATCAAAAGAAATGTACATATACTTGTTATGACCTTGAATAATTTTATTGTTTGGATATATAAAATAATACAAGATCAACTGTACGTATAAGTGAACTTTTAAGTGGTCTATTCCAAAGTGCTGTTCAGCTAGACTATCAACAATTGTCAGTTCAATACTTGTGTAGATTTAATCATATAAAATAATCGATTAAATGCTGAACCGACAGCTGTGTAGAATAATAAATATATAGAATGGCTGTGTTCAGAAAACATAATGATTGAAGAATTCGTCAATGTTATTGGTCTGTAAGAATCTAACAGTAAAGACCATAATCACTGATCACACAATGAATGTTTTATTTTCTGAACGCATATGCAGTCATCAACAGCCAGTACAACTTGAAGCTGTATAATTTTAAATTGTAAAGCAATATTTAATATATTAACCTCTTCATGTATAAACAAACGAGATAGAAGATTATGCTCTTTATACTTTTATAATACAATATGACAAATGAATAAATTGTACAATCAATTCTACATCTGTTGCATAATACACCGGATATAATGTAAATATTGAGCTTTAGAATTTGAATAAAAGTTTTAAATTTAAGTCAGAATTTATTATTTAACATTTAATTTGTTATATTGTTGTATGGACTCAAATTAATTTGTTATATTGTTATATGGACTCCAATACTTGAATAGAGAATTTATTAGTACCTAGTGACTTTAGAATATATGATCTATACAGATTGGTTTATTTTTGTAGCTAATCTTATATTAAATCTAGACGAAAGTTTGTAACACTTCTTTTGAAATTCTAATTTGAGAGGTCTCTACATCATGAAAACAGCTGTGAATTTTGCATTACGTGGTCATAATGGGTCATGATGCGTTACGATTGTGCGGATATCAGCGCAAGCGAATATATGATAAACGTAGAAATTGTAACGGAAATAAGTGAACTATACAATGGCGGGCACAAATAATCAAATACAAATTCGTCTTGTTACTCAACAGCAACAGTAAAATTTTAATCTTTTATTCTCCTCTTGTTGTCATTGCATGGAGGTTATATTTTAACTTAATACAATTCTAGGTACGCTGTATCTAGTTATCCTTTATCGGTGGACGTGTCGATAGGTGCCATCGAATTAAACACTATCGTTAACAAACTTCTAAGGGGTAAGTAGGAATGTTGACAAAGTCTCAAATTATCTTCATATTTCTCTCTGGATCAGCGTTCTTGTTGCTATTTTTCATGGATTCATGGATCCTGAATCCTGATCTTGACTCTAATCTAAATTTGAATATTTAAATATCTCGATTTGTTTAATATATCTCTATTTGTTTAATTTAAAGCCAAATATTTTGAATGTTGTATACGGATTTGAATTTTAAGATCAAATCTGAATTCTGAAAAATATTTTGGGTGATCATCATCTTGATGATTTTCTCATAGGCCAAACGGTTGATTCACAGAGTCGAAGAATATCCAGAATGAAGTGAACTTTGATTTCTCGATATCTTCTCAGTTTCTGCACACCTCTTTGAGGGAGCATATTGCTGAGACAGAAATTCTCACTAAAAAAATAATAGATGTAGAATATCTGCAGAAATATGTCCCACCAGAGTCTGAGGATTGCCTGATACATGAAGACTGGGTATCAACTGTTGCTGCTTATGATAAATGGTTGGTATTGATTATAATTATAAAGATTAAAGAGACAAAGAGCTTAACATTTTAAAATGTTCTGTGTTATATATATAGGATTGGTTACTGTTTAAATATGTGAATAGATTACTAAGTAAATTTCTATTTAAAAATTTGCATAGATTAATTTAGATTAATTTCCTATAACTTTATAAATAAAATAATCAGTAAAAATAAAGATCTAATTTTTATTTTGTTCAACTCTGTATTATAGATATATATTATATATATGATGTTAATCAAAATATACAACATTACAAATTGGATTTAATTTAGGATTTTAACTGGCTGTTACGACAATACTTTGCACATTTGGACATCAAGAGGTAAACATTGTCTTGTGATTCATGGACATGCATTGCCTATTAAAGCAGTGGCATGGATATCTGTCAACGATGATAATATTTCCTTTGTCAGGTAGCTCTAAATATAATAACTGTTCTTTTAACATGTTTATTGCCATATATATTGCTATTGATGATGTAGTTAACTATATCAATAATATCCATGGATTTGTATTCAACAGTTAAATTTTTATAATATTTAAGAAGTATACTAGAAGTATACTAGAAATATTTTATAATACTTGTACTTTATCTTGTATAATTGGTATTATAGTCATGTTACTTTATTTTGCAAAAAGACATAAAAAGAATGAATGTGGCAATGTTACATAATTTTCTTGTAAGCGCGAACGCCTTATAAAAAATTGACAACAATTATTTTAATAATTTTGCGGCATGTGGCTTACTATTATGGAAGTTAATTTTAATTTTAACAATAGATTTTGTAACATATTTTCCAATTAATCTAAATTAGCTAATAATAACTTTTGCGTACACATCTTACGACAGCGTATCGCAGGATCAAACAGCCATAACATGGAACTGGGATATGAAAAATTCAGCTGAACCATCGCACGTTTACAAGGGACACGAAAATAGTGTGGAGGCAGTCAGCATAAATTATGATAAAACATTGATGGCAACTGGTAGCTGGGATAAAACACTTAAAATCTGGTTGACACGTAAATATGTTCAACTATGAGACAATGGGAAGTTTTTGCAATACTGTCACTCAGATACGGTAAACCTAAATCGTGAATGCTATTGGTCGCGTATATTGTGACATTATTTCTGAGCAAATAACGTTCACGATTTACGTTTACCGTACCTGAAAGACGATATCGCAAAAACTCTCTATTATGGTTACTGAAATAAAAATGAGCTCTTTAATTACAAAAAGCAATATAAGTACAAATGCATTAATAAGATTTTATTGTTTGGCTTCATAAGCAACACAAGATGAACAGAGGAATGAAGAGCCCATGCCAAAAAGAGCCAAAGTAGAGTATAATAAAACACGGGTACGTAGACCGAGAGTTTAAACCTTGCGATATTTATAATATTGGCATGAAAAATATTGACATAATAATTTCGCCAAATTATTGTAGAAAGACTGTATTGCATATATGTATTTTATACATGAGCGTATTTTATATAGGAGAAAAACAATCGATCAATATGTAATTATACTCAACGCAGGTTCCAATATGTACGATAAAAGGGCACAAGGATGCAATAAGCGGAGTTAAATGGTCTGACAAAACGGAGATCGTCACGTCGTCGTGGGACCACACTGTGAAAATCTGGGATTCCGAATTGGGCAACGTTAAACGTGAATTTATCGGCGAGAAAAGCTACTTCGACATTGATTATTCTCCGTTAGCGCACGCTGTGATAACTGCGTCCGCGGATAAGCACGTGAGGCTGTATGATCCGAGATCTTCAGGTACTTAAAAGGCTTTCACGACATGTTACAAGTACTACTCTTGGTTTCGTACTAGAATAAAATTTTAATCTTTTGATTGTTTCAACTTCAACTTGAAATTAAGTTACATTTTGAGTGAGATTAAGTTTCAACGAGAAGATTTAATGGGAAATTAAAATTTATTTAAACAATAGGCTAATTGTGTGTTTCAGAGAATTTAGTTCTAAAAGCCACGTACACTTCTCATACACAATGGGTGCAATGCGTACGCTGGTCAACTGTGAATGAATTCCTCTTCATCTCAGGAGCCTATGATAATATTGTCAAGCTGTGGGACACCAGAAAGTTAGTCATATTGCATCACATGCATGAATAATTCTCGAACTATATTAAGAACGCAAAGAGGAAGGCGGGTTACAAATGTCGACATATCTTTTATATTTTTATATTAAAGTGTATATTTTTAATTTTATAAAAAAGTACTTATGTGTGTATGTTAGTATATGCATACATCTTATTTTTTATTGTCTTTCTTACTCTTGCTATATATGATACATATTTCACTTCCGCAAAGTTTCGTTAGGCGTATGAACAGCTATGTAAACGATAGCTCGAGTACTGTCCCGGTACGAAATTAATAGCAGCATATTTACATTATGTGTGTTGTTACGTGTTTACAGTTTTTACATTTACAATTTGTTTTTCAGCCCCAAGGCATCATTGTTCGATGTCACGGAACACAAAGATAAAGTTCTGTGTTGTGACTGGTTGAACTCTAGGCTAATAGTATCTGGCGACGCGGACAATACATTGAGGATATCCATGTTTAATGACGAATATTAGTTTACAAAAGCGATATAATAAAATATTGTTTTGCAGCAGGAAAGTGAAATCTCGGAAATATCTTATTAATAATTGAACTAATGAGCTTTAAACATCTCAAAGTTTTAAACAAAATTTTCAACTGCATTAATCTAAATTACTTTAAACATTTGAAACTGAAGGTTATTAAACGATTTTAAACATCTCAATAATCAGATGTTACAATTCACTAATAAATGTATAGTAAGAAGGAATTTACATCAGCACACAGACATGTAATTATTAATATCTGATATAATGATACTTTCTTAAATACATTACTGTGTACATTAAGATTTTTAAGGCAATAAATTTTTTTTACGTTAATATTTTTACTATAATTTTACTATAATTGTTTTTTTTACATTTTATATCTCTTTTACATTATATTTGTTTTATAAAGCAATATGTTATATGTGTGTATATATATATATAATAGTTGAAATGAGTAACATGCAAAATTTCTTACAAATTGGAAAGACTTGAAAAATTAGAATTTTTATATATATCAAACAGATCATATATATTTCTTTACTTCATAACAAAAACTATATAATTTATTATTTAACATATTTGAGGTCTTGTCTTTAATTACTAATGAAACTTACATGTTTAAAAATTGTCTTATAATTCTTTATCTTTAACTTGAAAGAAACTGTTAATATCATTGTCATCAAATGGTTCCTCAGGATAATTATCACATATATGTGAATGCTCTGTACAAAGTTTTTCTTTCTTATTTTCTACATCATTGACATACAATGATATTATGTCATCTTCCAATTGCTCCACTACCAAGTGACACTGTAAATATTAAAACAAGTTAGTAATAGTAAATTGAATATATGTAAATAACTACAATAATATAACAAAAAATAATTACAATATGTAATAATACTTACGTAAAACTCAAGAGACTTGTTTAAATCACCATCATGAATTAGATCTACTTTAGACATTTCAGGATTCATACCACCTGATGGTAACACAATGTTAAAGATTGTCAACTTTTTATTATATTTCTTAATTCCTCTCACGTAATCTTTCATCTTTGAACAGATATCATCCACTATATCCGAAATATGTACTTGCGATTTACGTAATGGAACCTATAAATAACAAATTGAAATTTTATGGCATATATACATGAAAATATATGTATACATTGATAAATAACTTTTGATAAATTTACTAGTAATATGTGTATATGTATGTAAGTATGTATGTAAAATTTATCATTTTATTGCATATATACTTTTACCTTTTTCTGTACAGTATTTCCCTGAGCATCCATTTTGTAATTACCTGCATCAACTAATACTCTTGGATTTAATTTAGATACCGCAGCTTCCATTTCATCCATAGTAGCTCTACAAACTATAAAATGCAAAATATACTTTTATATAATTACTTTATCAGTGAATGAGTTTATAACTTAAATATTTAAGATTTTCATTAATTTTCATTCATTTTTACATACCTAAACATTTTAAATGCGCTAGATCAATATCTTGAGAATGCACAAAATCTTTTATCAAAAATAAACCGATAAATAGGAAGACTCTCATCTGCGAAGAAAAGGAAAACTTTAAATTGCATTATATGATTTTTCTCACAGACTAACATTATACTTTTACAATGTTATAATTCACACATAAATATTATATATTTCTTATTACTTATGTATATAAAAAAAAGAAATCTTACCTTGTGCGTATATTATAGGATAATTTAAGATATAACAATTCTATAAACTAATACATATACTTTATCACACTGCAATCTATCACAATACGCACGACACGTGTAACGCGACTACTGCTCACATTCCCTCACATTCTATTCGTATATGACAGTTTACGTGTGTTATATACGAAATTCATATACGATGGACGAATAGCCGTTCGTAACGTGTACTTCCAATAATACCAACTGTGTCAATAAATGTAACTGTAAAGTGGAGTCTACAATAAAAGTCGTAACGTCCTAAAGCTGCGTTCCGAAATTCACTGTCAGTACTGAAAATACATAGTTTGTGTCACGTATACTATAGATTTTCAATAATGTCAGTGAACATCGGAACGCAACCTTTATTGCAAGGTCCTAAGAAAATTGACCAATCGCAATCGATTATTCTCCTTATGATCGAAGAATAATCAATTGTGATTAGTCAATTTTCTTACGAATTTACGACTTCTATCATAGGTCCGTTTAAAAGTTTTAATAATAAAATCTGATGGAATATAACCAAGTGATTAAATTAACCATAGTTGATAGAAACAGACATTAGAAACCTTGCAGAATTTCAACTAAAACTGCTATAAGAAGAAATAGAGAATAAGGATTTAAGGTATACTTGAAATGACTCCATTTTTTTTAAACTTTTGTAGCACTAAAAAGACCAATTAAACATTCCTATGCAAAATATTATCTGGTGAATTACTAGATCCAACCAATCATTTACTTTGTGTCCAGTCGTGCTGTATTGAATAGATACACACCCATAAAAACTTGATAAAAATGGCTCCTAGAATTTCTTGTTGCAAACCGACTGCACTAGAGGAATAATCGACTGAGATTGATCAGCTTTCTTGCGGCCTTACGTTTACGGTTAAATTCTTCTACGTGCAACGGCCTTTACTGTTCACGCTTACTTCTTACTGCTTACGGCCATTGTAGACCACGCTTTATATACTGTAGCATAAAATTGACTCCAAAAAGTATGTATTATTATACATAAGGGAATCAAACATCTGCGCATGTATGAATTGGAGTCCACAAAGAGAGGAGATATATAAGCAATATGGCCCATCCACTTAGAAGAAATATGTTTTGATTCAACCAATCAGATGTGAACGTCGGGCACCAGGACGGTACATACTTTTCGGGGTCATGTATTGAGTCGGAGTCAGCAGTCTATACTATAGTATAGCAGTTATACTATAGAACAAAGCTCGGCAAACTACAACTTTCGGCCGATTTTCGGAAGCTACGCCTTCTATCTCCCCTTACCGCGCGGCGGATCCAGCAACTGACGGTCGCGGCTCGCGACCTCAGTACCGCGATTCTGTAACTCGTTATTGGAGTTAACGACACTTTCGTTATCGTTGCGCAGCTTTTGTATACCATAGAAAAGCTGCGCAACGATAACGAAACTATCGTTAACTCCAATAACGAGTTACAGAATCGCGGTACAGGGTACCTATTATGGAACTCGTCGAAATCGATTCCGATCGAATTTATTCCGTTATTTCCTAAATTTCTAATGGCTGCGTTCAGAAGAACAAAGTGATCACTGAGCGCTTAGTGATTCTCGCTCCTGATTGGTAAATACTTCTGGGTCTATGAAGAATCTAAAAAAATGCTCCAATTACAGACAATAATCACTAAGCGCTCACTGATCATTTTGTTCTACTGAACGCAGCCAATGGTTGCATTCAGTACTACAACCGCTCACTGAGCGCTCAATGAGCTTTTACATTTGATTGGTATATTCTTTTAGATTTAAAAATATACACCAATCAGATGCAAGAGCTCACTTAGCGTTCAGTGAGCAGTTGTAGTACTGAATGCACCCAATGGCTACATTCAGCAGACTCAACAGTTGGACAACATTACTACATTTTCCATTGAATCTCGCTCCTGATTGGTAAATACTTCTGGGTCTATGAAGAATCTAAAAGAATGCACCAATCACAGACAATAATCACTGAGCGTTCTCTGATCACTTTGTTCTACTGAACGCGGCCATTGGTTACGTTCAGAAAACAAAGCGCTCACTGAGCGCTTAGTAACTATTGGTCCTTACTGTTAGATCCTTACATTCAGACCAATAACGTTGACGAATTACTCAACCGTTGTGTAACCGTTGTGTTTTCTGAACGCAGCCATTGGCTGCATTCAGCAGACTCAACAGTTGGACAACATTACTAGATTTTCCACTGAATCTCGCTCCTGATTGGTAAATACTTTTGGGTCTATGAAGAATCTAAAAGAATGTTCCAATCACAGACAATAATCACTAAACGCTCTCTGATCATTTTGTTTTACTGAACGCGGCCATTGTCTTTTCTAGGAGAAACGGAATTATTCCGAACGGAATCGATTCCGACGAGTTCCATAATAGGTACCCAGGACCGTTGAAATCATAAGGCGCATCTATGTGGTTAAAAAAAAAACGCGTCGACAATAGTACCTCATGGATGACAAGGAAACCTATTATGTTACCTTCTAATTATAAAAATATAAGAAAAAAATATATATATACTTATACAAGTATATATTTGTATATATTTATACAAAATATTATACATATAGTTGTATCGATACATTTATTTTTCAGCCTTTGAGATACGTTAAAGAAGCGCATTGGCTGCATTCAGCAGACTCAACAGTTGGACAACATTACTAGATTTTCCACTGAATCTCGCTCCTGATTGGTAAATACTTCTGGGTCTATGAAGAATCTAAAAGAATACTCTAATCACAGACAATAATCACTAAGCGCTCTCTGATCACTTTGTTATACTGAACGCGGCCATTGTCAATGTTAACACGTTATTCTATCTTTATCGCTTATTACACGTACAAGGATTGAATAACGCGTTAGCGCTAATCGACGCGCTCCCCGAACGCATCTTTAGCACCACATAGATGCGCCTTATTATTTCAACGGTCCTGAAGTCGCGAGCCGCGACCGTCAGTTGCTGGATCCGCCGGGCGGTAAGGGGAGATAGGGGGCGTAGCTTCCGAAAATCGGGCGAAAGTTATAAACTTTGCCAAGCTCTGCTGTACCTATTCCTGGCACAGCTTCTATACGTCGCCTCTTGCTCCATGTAAAACTGCCTGTGAGACACAATTCTTCCGTTGAATACCCAGGCTGCTTTGCGCTGCTATTTCTCATCCTCATCCATCGCCATCGTAGTCCGACGTGAAGTGGTGTGTAAGGTGGGTTTACCTCATTGCGGTGTTACCTGCCTACTCCTTGACGTCCAATAGAATTATTCTGGTAACAAAATGTCGCCAGCTATAAACCCCAGAAAGCAAACACTTCCATTGGATCTCGTCAGAGCGTCGTACGTCGCCTCTTACTCGATGTGAAACTGCCATTGAGACACAATTCTTCCGTTGAATACCCAGGCTGCTTTGCGCTGCTATTTCTCGTCCTCGTTCATCGCCATCGTGGTCCGACGTGAAGTAGTGTGTGAGGTTGGTTTACCTCATTGCGGTGTTACTTGCGCCTGTGAATAGCTCTAAGTTTCGTTTCAAGCCGCACAAATGAAGATGGTGGATAAGATAGAGATGAGTCTGGATGACATTATTAAGCAAACTAAAGGCGCTCGAGCACGGGGCGGCGGCGGTGGTAGACGCGGCAGAGGCGCCGGCAGTTCCGCTCGTCGTGGAACACGCAGGACCCCGAGAACTGGCGGAGGTGTCATGCGAGGACGTAATCGCGGCGGTATCACGCGCGCTTCTCTACCGTACACAAGAGTAAGGATATCACGATCATGTACTTTGGAACTTTGACGCGCACTTTCGTTGGGGAACATGTATATATGCGCGCCCCTGATATGCATATGTGTGTACACACGCAAGATGTGAACATTGCATGCGTGAGCGGATAGACGCACGTATATGCATGCAAGGTTTTTACACATTGTATGTGTGTGTGTGTAACTTATGTGGGGCAAGGTATTTCTCAAGTTTCAAAGATTTGTGTTACAGTATCTGTTGGTTTTTAACTATATTTCAGAGAAGCTTCTTTCTTATTCCATTTGCTCCAGAATCTAAATATATATATTTGGCCCAATAAATAGATATATGAAGAAAGTACAATATATAGATAAACGAAGAAAATGAGGTGAAGATTGCATTGATTGGTTACATTAAGAAATCCTGTTGATGTTTCATGAGAATAAATATATATATATATGCGTATATTTCTACATATTTTTGATAATTTTTTTGCTTTTCCTTTTCTAACATCTATTTTATTTTTAGCACAAAGTCTAATAGCAGAATATAGTTAAGCAAATAAAACCTTGCATTTATAATCAAACAGAGCAGTTTAACTCTCACAGCTGTTCTGTTTAGTTATACTTCTTACATTTCCTTATTCTTATCTTTTATTTCTCATCCTCTTTAAGCCATGGCATATAGAAAAATATAAGCAAATGAAGAAAATTAATCAATCACAGTCGATTATTTTTAGATCATAAGAGAAATAATCAATTGTGATTAGTCAGTGTGCTTACTATTTATTGTTTATTTTTACTTTCTATATGTACTATGGACTTTTCTTTGTATAGAATCCAAATATTTATTTTTTATCTTAGGTATCTAAGGCATAACACAAAAACTGCTGGACTAATCAAAGTCAATATCTGTTAGATTTGACTTTTGTTGATGATTTTGTTTGATAGAATACATGGATAATATCCTTGAATAAATCTAGTAGTAGTTTCTAGTAGTTTCTAAGATCAATAAAAGAAAAAAAAGAATTTGTTTTTATAATAGAGTAACTTGAAGAAATATGTTGATGTAAATTATATTGAGATATTACCAAATATTGCTGAGACAAAACTTTATTTTAAGTTATTTTAAGCTGTTTATTTTAAAGACATTTCTGCTGTTTTAAGTTAGATTTCTTCATAATCAAAGTTTTATATAGATATATAAATAACAAAACACAAGTTTGTTATTAGAAAATATGTTATTAGAAAAATTTCTAATGTTATTAGAAAATAATAGCTTTTAATAACCTATGTTTTATTGTACAGGGTGATGTAAACAGCGCATGGAAACATGATATGTTTGATGGAGTAAAAAAAGTTGGTCGTGGTGCAATAGGCAATGTAGGAACGACTAAACTGTTGGTATCAAACCTTGATTTTGGCGTGTCAGATTCAGATATACAGGTATTAGAGTATTTCATACAAAAATTTATTAATTTTTTAATATATTAAACACATGGATATATTAAACACATGTGATTAGTTAATTTCTCTACAAATTGTTTTGTACTTTTATACAAATCTTATATGGTTCTTAATTGCTTATTTCTATACAGAAGAGTTTGATATAAAAATTAATTTGTTAACAATATTCTTTAGGAATTATTCAGCGAGTTTGGACCTTTAAAGTCAGCAGCAGTACATTATGATAGGTCAGGTCGATCTCTAGGGTCAGCAGATGTCATATTTGAGAGACGGGCTGATGCTATCAAAGCAATGAAACAATATCATGGAGTACCACTAGATGGTATATACTTAAATTTTTGTACAATTGCATCCTACTTTTGCTTTTGCTTTTTTAATTACAAAATTCCATCTATATTTAACACATATTGTTATAGCATTTGAAAAAAATAGAGTTTATTAACCCTTTAACTGCTGAGATATTAAATGACCAGTATGACCCTCTTTGCTGAGTTATTTTTACAATTATAAAATATTTTATAATGATAAGAGATGGCACTATATGCCTGCTCAATTCAAATGCTTTTTACAAACTAAATGAAATGGGTATTACACATTGAAAGTCCAAATCGAGTAAACTCGATCGTAGCAAGGCCGCCATTTTTTCCACGCTCGAGTTATCTCGACCGTAGCAGTTAAAGGGTTAATTAAATGTTATTGTATAATGTTAAATGTTATATTTAGTGGATACAGTGGACATTATATATTTATGTATGTATATATATTATTTTAATACGTAATGTATATTGGCAGGTCGTGAAATGAATATACAGGTTGCTACAAGTGAGTTGCCAATTACTTCTCTTCGCAGTGGCCCAAGACTTAGCGGTGCTAATTACACACAGAGACCTCAGACTCGTTTTAGAGGAAATCGTGGGGCAGGATCTATTAGAGGTAATTTATAGTCAGCTATATATTATTAAATTAATATTTTACTTCAAAATATGTTGTAATCATCATTCTGTTAATATTCTATATTCAACAAAAAGTATTTAGAAGAAATGTAAAAACATGTGAACTCTTGTCAAATCGATGTTTCTCATAACAAAATTATATACCATTTTGTTTGAAATTTATTTTAAAGACATTTCAGTATTAAAAGAAAGTGTATAATATATGATTTTTATTACAAAAAAGAAACAAATAGTTGTGTAATAAATATGTAAATAAATTTATTATATCTTAATTTATTAACATATAAAATAACGAATTGAAAGATATTGTAATAATCAAATTTAAGTGTAAATAATGACAGTTTTCTCTTTTTTATGTTATTATAACTTTGCTAAAATTGCAGGTCGTGGTAGTGGTCGTCGAGGAGGTCGAGGAAGTGCTCGGCAAGTGACGAAAACGCCTACTGCCGAAGAATTAGATGCAGAACTGGAAGCTTATGTGAAGGAAGTAAAGTAACAATACCATAAAATTCTTCAATCTCAAGATTTTGTTCTCATTTGACCTAACACAATATATTGTGTTGTCTTTATTTTCATTCAATTTATGTAGTATAAACAATGCTATCTATATATACTAAAAAAGAAAATCTAGTAAGATATTATAAAAGAAGTTTCTCATTTAAATGAATTAGTTTTTATTTTTGACGATTCCTCCGGAAATTGCGCATAATAAGAATGGAATTTTATGAAAAAAGAAACCTTCACAAACATCACTCGTAGATATTCATAGATTTTTTTATGATATGAATAAGAAGGATAAAAAGAAATAAACCTATGATGTAAAGACTGTACGGATTTGTATGTATTCTGTCGTGCGTGTGTGCTCTCATCAGATGAAAAATACAGTGAGATTCATCTAGAACAGTTGTTGTTTATCAAAGTACAGAATGTGCTTCTAAGCCCTTAATCTGATTTTATTCTCTGTGCTGTATTGAAAATCAAAAATTTATCACATGCCCAACTTATTTTTAGAATAGTTTATTATTAACGGCGACGGCGGCAGTTGGTAATAGGAATAACGAGTAACACTACAAAAATACTTTTGTAACTTGTATTTGGTGGATTGTTTTCTTTTAGTGTAAATTACACCGCTGTGCGTATCTCATAGCTTATAGCAGATTTAAGGCTGTGACATACTATTAGATAGATACTCTGATGGTATATTTTATTGCGCAACAATGCGCTAGATATGTGTGTGTAAAGAAATGTGTAAATTTTTATCCATGCAGCATACAAATTGCAATCAAGTGGTGCAAGACTGAAGAGAAAAGCTGACAACAAATTCTCTTAATAAAAAGAACTATTCGTAAAAGGCAAACAATTTTTATTACCTACCTAAAAAAAAAAGCTCTTGAAATATGAAAAGAAATTTTCCTCAGAGATACTCCGCGTTTAAAGATATATATTTGACAAGAGTATGTAAAAGAGCCTAGTTACAGACAATGTAACCATTAGATAGATGGTTACATTGTTAATGAGTAAACTCAACATATATGAAACATTCTGCGCAATTTTCTTTATTTTACTTAAATAATCATATTATATCATTTTGTACATATGTAAAAATATTTGCTAGTAGTTAGCATACAGAAGGCCGAGTATTTGCCAATTCAGCCGGCGATTGTAGAGATCACTACAGAATTGTACTCATTTTTCATACAATATAGGAGATCGAGTCTTTCCTTTAACTTTTATATTTGCTAGAAATATTAAATTCTCTAAATACTTAGTAATAAGATCAGTCAAGTTTAGATAATAAAATTTTACTATGCAATAATTGTGTGTACAACACGAGGCAACATTACCACACCAGTGTTTTAAATTACAAAAGATGAATATAATATAATATCGATCTTCCTTATAGTCTTTTCAGTGTTCTCTTCTTATCTTTTAACATTTTCTTCTTTTCTGCCGTTAATTTCTTATCACCCGCATGCTTCTTTGGAAGAGGTCCTCCCGCTTCCGTGGAAGCGCAACTCTCCAGGCCAACTTTACTGCCTTTGCCACCTCCCTGAAAAAGAAATATAATCCTATATAAATATTATAACCAAAATTACTTTTATACATTATTGAGACAAAATATCACCTGTGCATGTATCTCTGTCATCATTTTTGCTCGCTCTGCATATTCATCATGGCTCTCTAAAAGTAATTTGCCAGCCTCCTCGTTTAAAGCAGATTCTGGATTTGGCACTATTAGTAGACATTTTACAGTCTGGAAAAGATCATGGAAAGTAAGAACTATATATGTGCAATATATTTTACACATTTTTTTACACATTTGCAATCACTCACCAATAATATATGTTGTATTCCAAGATCTGGCTTCCAATCCTTTTTCAATGTATTAACACAAATCTCACCATTTTTTGCTACGTTTGGATGGAAAATCTTTGTAAGGAAGTAAGCCTTGGGTGGTCCTTGTGGAAAATCCTTCCCAAGTGCCAATTTAACTCTAAAGAAGCCACCAGTGTATGGAGTCCCCGCTGTTATTCAAAGAAGCATTACTCAGACCATATTATATTATAACAAGTTTCAAATCAAAACTATATATAATATACACAAAAAATAATCTACACAATCTACATAAAAAAAGTCACAGAGCCTGCAATTTCGCAACTTGCCGAATCTGGTTTCATAACGATATAGATTGGGAAGTATTTTCTGACGTTTCGAGTACGACGTACTACATACTCACACACGTGTGCGCACGTCACAACAGAACGTTATTGACAAGAGCAAGTGCACGGTATATATATATACATTCACACATAGGCGTATGGGTTAGGTTAGGTTGCAATTGCGATAAGGGCTGCATTATCTCAAGATATCAAACATTGTCGGTAGGACCCGTGGCAGCGAGATGCAGGATACAAGATGCAAGGAAACACGCGGGGGAGAAGAAAAGCGATCGATTCTTACAGGGGCCCTCGATGACAGCTTGAATGTCTGTGACGTCTGCTTCGTTTAGAATGACGCGGATACCCTCGGGTGGATGGGCGGCTAACTCTGCCATCTCCTTGGCCACCCGGCGGATGATCTGCGGCGACAGATTCTCAACATTCGAAATCTGCAAGGACACGTACACATCGTCAGTGTTTTCCGATCGGTCGTCGGTCTCTCTGTCCCTCGACGAGCGACACTTCCTGGCGCGCGCCAAGTCGCGTGTCGAAGGACAGCGTGGAGCGTAAACATGCGGCGATGCTGATGTTCTCGTCGCCGTCGTAACGAACGAACGTGCGTATGTGTGTGCGCCGCGTGGTGCGTGCGTGCATGCGAACCGAAGAACGCGGGGATACGTACGCATAATAAGTATACGCACGTCTGCCGTGGGCAGCATACCGGATACTCACGGAACTCACGGCGACGGTAGCCATAATTTGGGCGACGAGAACTTCGAGCGCGATACCTCTCCGGCCGTGTCTAGCGCGCAGCCATGCGCCTTTCTTTTTCTCCCCCGAATTTTTGAGCAAACGCAGCACGCAAGATGGTCAGGTAGGAAAAACACAGTTTAACGTCACCACAACATCAACGGCACGACAGCATTGCCCGCAGTAACCAACATTTTGAACTGACGAGCCAATCGCGTGCCAGTGGTATACCTGAGCGCACTCTCGAAGCCAGAAGTCGATTCCTCCGTTATCGCTATCGCCATCGCCATCGCCGCCGCCGCCGCCGCCACTACAGCCGCGCTACCGCCCCACCAACGTCTCCCCCTCTCCAGCCGTCGTTTTACCCTGACGTTCCATGCTTATACGTATTTTTTTTCTCACCTCGAAAGTGCACGATCCGTCGCAACGGCATTGTCGGGAATCCAGAGCGACTCGACTTACTCCCTTAAACGAGAGCGCTTCCTCGGGGGATGACGGTGCGTGATTAGACGGTGCTGAGCATCGTGAAGCAAGCGTGGTTTCCTCCCGCTCGCGGCGACCGCCGCCAATTCAAGTGTCGAATCGAAGCGCAACGTCGTCGGCGCCTACCGGCTTCTCGCCACCCTTTGGTACCCGGCCGCCGTCGCAGCGGATTTCAACATCACCGCTCATCACGGAATATTTGACAGGATGACGGACAATGAGGCAGCCGAACAGGTGAGACAAGCCTGGATTCTACTCATTAATCGGCCCATCGGCTTACGATCCTCTACGACGAATTCGACCCCGCCGAGGGACAGGGACGCGCGCACGAAGGAATCGCTCCGTCACGTCTCTGCATTGTGCGCGCGTGAAATAGGGAAATCGATGACAGTTAGACTCGATTTTGGCTGCTGATAAATCCGTTGTTCTTCCCGTAGGAGAAACACATGAAGCAGCTGAAGCGCAAGATGGAGTGCTGGCGGGAAGTGATACTACCCTTGTATTCCGTTTTGCTGTGGGAACGTAGCTGGTACCCAGGCTTGATCTTTGGATTTGTAACAACGATATTCTGGTAACTACTAGAATTAATTTTTTTTTATAAGCCGAGTATCTTCTTGACATTTGTCGTTTATTCATCAACTGGCGCTGTAAGTCTTGCATCGTTTGTATTTTACACTGTAGTTTTGTTTGTGTTTATGTACATAGTAATTCTTTCGCTTGTTGCAGTACAATATGGATCCTGGAATTGTCTTTGTTGGCAATAGTATGCATAAGTCTATCGATAGTGGCTCTTATCGATTATCTTGTGCCAGTTTTGACCTCGCTGTTATGCAATGCACAGAGTTGGACGGGACAAAAAGAGAAGAAGTTGATTGAGATCTGCCAGAATCTCTCAACTACCATGGCACAGATTGAGAACATATGGACATCAGCTGCAAAAATTCGGATTGATCGCCCGAGTATCGTAAGTGTGCTTTTATTCTTGACCATTGAACAACACAACCGGATCGTCCATGTCTAACAGATTTCTTTGTCTCTTGCGCAGTATTACAGCGTAACGATCTCCTGTCTTCTTCTCTTTGCATGGATCAGCAGCACAATCAACAATTTGCTCCTATTCTATATTATAGGTAACTGAATGATTTGAGATGCAGTCATGTTGGTGACTACGTGACATAAGATTTTGTTTTTAGATATACTATAAACATTGCATCGTATAATATTACTTTTCGACTTTTCCAGTGAACGCGATCCTTCTCACGCCGGGTGTTCGACACAAAGGACGAGCGCGTTGGGCCATAATACTTGCATACGATCGCTTAATTCGTCGTCATTTGCCATAATCATCTTAGACCTTTATTTCGTTTTCATTTCTCCTGTCGTACCACCGAGGCCCTTCGTTCTACATACATGTCAGTCCGCGTGCAATGTAAATCTATTCATAACATACGATTACTTCATAGTTTACATGTACATGTCATCTCATATATTAATTTGTTCTAAGAATTACAAATAGTAGTAAATTAAGTTGAATGTTCTAGTACATGATGAATTGATTTACGCATATCGATGGTATATTAGGTCGGTATTGTGATTGTCCTTCGGTGCCGGTGAGACGAAACATCGTTGCTATATTAAATTCGGATGTCGTATTGTATTTTATGCTTCAATATTGCTACTATAAGGGGAAAAATCATTTTGAATCGATCTTTAAGGTGTTTTACACATTGTTACGCGTGTAAAAGGAAACATAGTATAAGTGCTATGTTTGTCGATTGTTCGGCATGTATTTTATCAAATAGTGCGACAGCTGACATGGATTAGTTGATGATAAATACTTGATTGAATTAATTATCAGTAAAATTTTAGTTTTCACTAGTACATCCAGCCAAATTCGCTGTAACCAAAGTTTTGCGCGAAATAAGAGATCTGTTTTAGTAGGTATGTTAATACGCCATTGTTTTGATATTTTAAGTGATATTTAACATTGAAATTTCTCTTCGTCGAGCATGACTGTATAACCCTGCGCGTGTATAACGATAACGTACGATTATAACTAAAAGCCTGTGGCGGCATTGCGTTACTTGCGCAAGAAACTAAAATTTATCCTTTATTAGTTTTAACGTAGGTTATTTTCCTCAGAAGTGAATGTAAATGCAGTAAAGTATTATGTTCTCCAAAAACGTATAAGGCTTTGTATTTAAGGAAAATATACTCTTATGTATGTGAGTCGAAGGTTTTGTGTTTTACTGGAGCGTATTCCAATATATTCAAGTAAGACTATGGAGGATGATACAAATGATCGGATTTAAAAACAGCGCCGATTCAAATTGATTCATACCGAAGCGCCATTGGCCAAATTGAATGCATCGAGCGCATTCAGTACCATAGATTTGGACTGCGTTCCGTTTCACGCATTATCCGCGCATTTTCTACAGTATACGTAACATGAACTATATATAAATGCGCGCATATGCGCGAAACGGAACGCGGCCATAGTATATCTATCTATGTCTGTTCTTTGTAGCTGCACTGTTGAACTGGTGCAATAAGTTAAAGTGAGACAAATATAGGTTTTCTCACTCTAGCTTATTGTACCAGTTCAGCAGTGCAGCTACAAAGAACAGACCATAGACTGCGCGTTCTCCCAAATTTCAAGAGTGGGGGTATAACTCTCGTAGAAAAGAAAGCACTCTGTTTTTACTGTTCGTTCTCACTCGCACAGTCCCGATGGAAGAGGAATAGGGGCGGTGGTTACTGTACAGCAACTGCCTCCCCTATACTCCTTCCATCGGGACTGTGCAAGAGAGAACGAACAGTAAAAACAGAGTACATCCTTTTCTACGTGAGCTATACCCCCACTCCTCGAACATGGAATCTAGATATACTATGTCTATGTTCAGTACGAACAGCGCCACCGATGAGGTAATATAAAAACTGAAAGCTCTGAGTAAATTTTCGTATCACCCAATGGAGCCCCAAAGGCCCCACAGGTAATTGAAGAGCGATGATAATACCAACTGCTTTAGCTATGCTCAAGATAATACAGCTAGCAACTATTGCCGATGCACGGCGACGGGAAGATAACACGCCACTATTCATATTTTATCTCCCCGCTTCTACGCAGAGTTGCTAGATGCAATATATTACGACGCTACAGCACATGCGTGAGATGACGTAGAGCACGCTACTTGAGTAAAAGTTTCAGTATCGTATCTTTTTTAAGGTATTATAGCGCCCGTATTATACTATGCATTGAGAATTGCAATCGAGTAAATTAGATAATCTAAATCGTGGTTATTTTAATTGGTCCGATAGTATTTCTCAATCTACATTACAATTTTTCACTTAACAATGTCATTGTTACATAATATAAGTATTATATACAAGCAGTTTAGTCGGGTGCTTTTTACCAAAAAACCGCTACGTCGCGTACTTTTAGGCCTACCTTTGGGTACTTCAAAATTCCGGTACTCCGTTAATTCCGGCAAAATGTAGGGTTTTGAGAAGACTTTAATTTGGTGCCAGAATCAGGCCTGTATCTCTAATCGTTTAGGAGATATCGAAGGATAAAGTTTTCTAAGCTTTCTCTGTTGATATCTCCCCTTCTACTGGGAGTAGAGAGTCGTCATTTACGGCAAAATGTAGGGTTTTGAGAGGACTTTAATTTGGTGGCAGAACCAGGCCTGTATCTCTCTAACCGTTTAGGAGATATCGAAGTTTAAAGTTTTCCAGCCTTTCTCCGTCGATATCTCCGCTTCTACTGGAAGTAGAGAGTCGCCACTTACGGCAAAATGTAGGGTTTTGAGAGGGCTTTAATTTGGTGCCAGAACCAGGCCTGTATCTCTAACCGTTTAGGAGATATCGAAGGTTAAAGTTTTCCAACCTTTCTGCGGTGATATCTCCGCTTCTACTGAGAGTAGAGAGACGCCACTTACGGCAAAATGTAGGGTTTTGAGAGGACTTTAATTTGGTGCCAGAACCAGGCCTGTATCTCTAACCGTTTAGGAGATATCGAAGGTTAAAGTTTTCCAACCTTTCTGCGTTGATATCTCCGCTTCTACTGGGAGTAGAGAGTCGCCACTTACGACAAAATGTAGGGTTTTGAGAGGACTTTAATTTGGTGCCAGAACCAGGCCTGTATCTCTAACCGTTTAGGAGATATCGAAGTTTAAAGTTTTCCAGCCTTTCTCCGTCGATATCCAGCCTTCCTCCGTCGATATCTCCGCTTCTACTGGGAGTAGAGAGTCGTCCATGTAGTCGAAAATGTAGGGTTTTGAAAGGACTTTAATTTGGTGCCAGAACCAGGCCTGTATCTCTAACCGTTTAGGAGATATCGAAGGTTAAAGTTTTCCAACCTTTCTGCGTGATATCTCCGCTTCTACTGGAGTAGAGAGTCGCCACTTACGGCAAAATGTAGGGTTTTGAGAGGACTTTAATTTGGTGCCAGAACCAGGCCTGTATCTCTAACCGTTTAGGAGATATCGAAGGTTAAAGTTTTCCAACCTTTCTGCGGTGATATCTCCGCTTCTACTGAGAGTAGAGAGACGCCACTTACGGCAAAATGTAGGGTTTTGAGAGGACTTTAATTTGGTGCCAGAACCAGGCCTGTATCTCTAACCGTTTAGGAGATATCGAAGGTTAAAGTTTTCCAACCTTTCTGCGTTGATATCTCCGCTTCTACTGGGAGTAGAGAGTCGCCACTTACGGCAAAATGTAGGGTTTTGAGAGGACTTTAATTTGGTGCCAGAACCAGGCCTGTATCTCTAACCGTTTAGGAGATATCGAAGGTTAAAGTTTTCCACCTTTCTCCGTCGATATCTCCGCTTCTACTGGAAGTAGAGAGTCGTCACTTACGGCAAAATGTAGGGTTTTGAGAGGACTTTAATTTGGTGCCAGAACCAGGCCTGTATCTCTAACCGTTTAGGAGATATCGAAGGTTAAAGTTTTCCAACCTTTCTGCGGTGATATCTCCGCTTCTACTGAGAGTAGAGAGACGCCACTTACGGCAAAATGTAGGGTTTTGAGAGGACTTTAATTTGGTGCCAGAACCAGGCCTGTATCTCTAACCGTTTAGGAGATATCGAAGGTTAAAGTTTTCCAACCTTTCTGCGTTGATATCTCCGCTTCTACTGGGAGTAGAGAGTCGCCACTTACGGCAAAATGTAGGGTTTTGAGAGGACTTTAATTTGGTGCCAGAACCAGGCCTGTATCTCTAACCGTTTAGGAGATATCGAAGTTTAAAGTTTTCCAGCCTTTCTCCGTCGATATCTCCGCTTCTACTGGGAGTAGAGAGTCGCCACTTACGGCAAAATGTAGGGTTTTGAAAGGCTTTAATTTGGTGCCAGAACCAGGCCTGTATCTCTAACCGTTTAGGAGATATCGAAGGTTAAAGTTTTCCAACCTTTCTGCGGTGATATCTCCGCTTCTACTGAGAGTAGAGAGACGCCACTTACGGCAAAATGTAGGGTTTTGAGAGGACTTTAATTTGGTGCCAGAACCAGGCCTGTATCTCTAACCGTTTAGGAGATATCGAAGGTTAAAGTTTTCCAACCTTTCTGCGTTGATATCTCCGCTTCTACTGGGAGTAGAGAGTCGCCACTTACGGCAAAATGTAGGGTTTTGAGAGGACTTTAATTTGGTGCCAGAACCAGGCCTGTATCTCTAACCGTTTAGGAGATATCGAAGGTTAAAGTTTTCTACCTTTCTCCGTCGATATCCAGCCTTCATCCGTCGATATCTCCGCTTCTACTGGGAGTAGAGGGTCGTCCATGTAGTCCAAAATGTAGGGTTTTGAAAGGGCTTTAATTTGGTACCTGTCCGAAGCCTGTATCTCTAACCGTTTAGGAGATATCGAAGGTTAAAGTTTTCCAACCTTTCTGCGGTGATATCTCCGCTTCTACTGGGAGTAGAGAGTCGTCACTTACGGCAAAATGTAGGGTTTTGAAAGGGCTTTAATTTGGTACCTGTCCGAAGCCTGTATCTCTAACCGTTTAGGAGATATCGAAGGTTAAAGTTTTCCAACCTTTCTCCGTCGATATCTCCGCTTCTACTGGGAGTAGAGAGTCGTCCATTAGTCCAAAATGTAGGGTTTTGAAAGGGCTTTAATTTGGTGCCTGTCCGAAGCCTGTATCTCTAACCGTTTAGGAGATATCGAATTAAAGCTTTTCCTCGATATCACCTTCTCCGTCGATATCTCCGCTTCTACTGGGAGTAGAGAGTCGTCCATGTAGTCGAAAATGTAGGGTTTTGAAAGGACTTTAATTTGGTGCCAGAACCAGGCCTGTATCTCTAACCGTTTAGGAGATATCGAAGGTTAAAGTTTTCCAACCTTCCTGCGTTGATATCTCCGCTTCTACTGGGAGTAGAGAGTCGCCACTTACGGCAAAATGTAGGGTTTTGAGAGGACTTTAATTTGGTGCCAGAGCCAGGCCTGTATCTCTAACCGTTTAGGAGATATCGAAGGTTAAAGTTTTCCAGCCATTCTCCGTCCATATCCAGCCTTTCTCCGTCGATATCTCCGTCGATTAAGAAGTATTCACCCGCGATCCAATCTGAGAGCAGAATTCACGACAAAATCTCGTGAATGCGAAACAATACTTTTAAATACGACATTTTATATAGGACTAATATTTAATAAGAGCGCGACTAAATTCGCATAGGATGAAATTCCATTTTTTAACGCTACCATGACCTTTAATTATTCTCTGAAAATGGCGTCACAACAACTTACACTCTGTACAATTAGTTGCTAACACATTTTCTAATCGTATACATTCCTCTTTAATTAACATAAAGCTAACAAATGTCCGATGCTTCGACAGAATAATTTTCTTTATTTTCAGTAATCAATAAATAGAGTGCATCAATGTCGTGTACAGTTGAAAGACCTCCTCGCATTCCCTTTGTCGTTCCGAAACCTTCGAGAAAACAAGAGACGCTCAAAGGCAAGTCTCTCTTGCTTCAACCGCCGCCGAGGCCCGCAATGTTTACATCGCGCCGATTGTGTTGATCGGCTCGCGAGCGACGACACTTTTTGCCCTTCGTTTGACGTTTGACGAATTTTCCGGGAATAAGAAGTCGGAATTTCTCAATTGGCGCTACTGTTCTAATATATCACTTTTTTGTACAGTAGAAAAGTGTTGCAGAGTTTTATTATAGTTATAAGTTTTACTTGTAAAAACTTATGTACACATATATACAATAAAAAAAATAATTTGAGTTTGATACTTCTA